ACAGCATCTTACATTGTTTATTTTTATCCTGATTTCTTTATGTAGGAAAAAAAGAAGTAAAAAAGGTGAAAGTAAGGAAGTAAAATGCTTTCTCCTAAAATTTCTGTATGAAAAATTGTGGTCAGAGACATTTAAAAAGAGTGTGGGAAAGAGGTGTCTCAAATACCTTACAGTATAATTGTGGAACAAGAGATAAGAGATAAATACAGATAAATAGAAAATAGACAAATTATCAAACAATATTGTTTAATATTTTAAATAGAGCCATTTCCAGGCCTGACTAAAAATGTGAAAGTATTTTACAAATCAGTAAGAAGCAAGAGGTGGGATAGATTACAAAGGGTCTTGAAAATTAAGACTGCCAGGGAAGGAGGATAAGATAAGATTCTCAGGCATAAGAATAACATAAACCAAAAATAAGAGAAAGAGAATGATAGATACAGAAAAAAATAGTGATATAGAAGAATCCATAGCCTGTATGAATAGCATACATATCATAGCCTCATGAATCCCTCAGCGTGCTGGCAAGTTATGTAGAAGATAGTACAACTTCATGAAGAGCAGATTGTATTGTCGGATAATTACAGAAAATCAACATTTGTTTTTTTTGAACATGGATTTTTTAACTAACGTCTTCGTATCTCAAAATACTGTGTGCATATGAACTCTGCTGTTTCAAAACAAATGAGGACCAGCTGGTTTAAAGCATAACCACCTATGTCATCTTATTATCAAGGCAAAATGATCATAATCTTCTGTCCAAAATTGATGTGATTATTTGTTTGCATATCCAAAGCAGCAAAGTTTTATTTAATTTTTCCTTAATTAACAGTTATAATTTATTATCAAGTCACATTGCTTACGGCAAAGTAAGTGACTAACCTCAGTACTCTTACCTCTCCAGTCCTCCCCACTTCCTTCCAATTTGACTTACAACTTACTTGGTCTGAAACTGGATCTCAGTGCCTGTCTTTTCAGTCTTATTGTTACATATGGGCAATATTTTTAATGCAAACAAATAAGTGATATAATCAATGATGAATAAAGACATTTCTGATGTTTAGTTAGAAGAAATACCAGTTTGATTTTTTCATCCCTTCCACAGAGCGCCTTACATTTTTCTGCTATGAACTTCACTGTCACGACAGACTGTAGCTATACTCGCATTCCTTTATGCATTCAGCATATAATTATGTTGCTGTCACAATGTATTAAAATGACCATTACATATACCTGCATATCAGAGTAACTGGGAATTCAGGAGTACAAATTCAGTACGTTATCTCAGCTTTAAAAACAACAGACAAAATAAACACGTTATATACACTCTCAATGCTTAAGGGTAACTAGCTTGGCCTATATGGCATGGTGACCCATCACATGTGGCCACGTGTTGTGGTTGCATCTACTAAAAAAGTATTCTATTCATACATGATAATTTCTACAAAAATTAAATTAGAAATTACAAGCTAAATGAAATTCCTCACGATTAAGAGACTAGCAATATGTTATGGTAAGATGGCATTATTTCTGTTCCAAATTTTAGGTTATTATTATGAAATTCCATCCATTGGAGCCATAAGAATAAACACCCAGGTAAGTGTGTTGACCATATGCAGATACAGTTGTAACACAAACAAGTAGAGTAATTTCTGTTCTTAAATATGTTGCATTTCACCTCTGTTTGAATCAATTAAATTTTAAGATACACTACATTAAGAACAGAGAAAAAAATTAAGGCTTTCTTTTACATATGAGGTATTATTCTGTTAAAGTATCCTAATTTATTTATTTCTTTTTAGTAGTTTCAGTGAGCCAATTTACAATGTCATCCCTGCTTCCCTGGCCAGCTGGCCCACAGCAGCTTGCATGCATACTAGTCATGCTAGCATCCTCTAAAGCAGTCTGACCATGTGCACACAACATAGCGTTTGAAGTGATCTGCATCCTGCAGACCTTCTCTGCACAATGATTATGTTTTGGGTTCAGTTTTCCTCCTGGCCTTACATGGTCCCTCTTTGATCCTGAGACACGGCAACAATTTTTTAATAAAGTTCTATAAAAGCAGTACATTTTTATAACATGTCTAGACATTAATAGTCTGGCTCCTGCCATACTTTCAGCATAATCCTGAGGGTTTGTATTACATGGAGAAGGCTGTGGATGTCTGTGAGGGCGTAGCCCTGCTAGATTATCTGAACTCAGCTGGGCAGAAACAGTGACCTGGTACAATCCTGCTTATAGCAGAGGTTCCTGGATTGATCCAACCAGTCTGGGAGAGACACAGCTTTTTTCCTTCAAAAAGGATTCAGGACAGTTTTAGCAGCCATGCGTGTAGATAATTAAGGGCACAGGACCCTGGAATTATATGGTGTGATCCAAACTGACAGTGCAGATGAACAGATATTCTTTTCAGTTGCCTGAAAGCCCATGTATTCACATGTCCAGAAAAGCAGAGGAATATCATGGCAGTTCTTTGTCCTTCCAAGGCCAGGCATGACATTTTTTTGGCAGAAAATAAGTCCTTTTTTTGGCTTGAATAAGAGTCCTTTGATTCTGTTAAACTCTTCCAGATAGTGTCTGGCAAGAAATATCCCTAATATGATCAGACAAATAGAAAAGGTTGAAGACTGAAACAAGTTTGATGTCATCCACTCCCAAACCAGACCAGAAGTCTGACATCCTTTAAGATCACCAGCTTTAGCCATGCTCCATGACTGAAGGAAGGCAGGGACTATTAGGTTTTAAAACTCTGAATTTTTTGTTTCAATAGAAGTTACGCAAGTTCTTGCTGTAGGAGCTTAACATGCCCAGCTGCTGCACCACTCACCCTCCATCGCCCACTCTATCTTCTGGGTTGAAGGTTCTGCAATCTGCTTGTAATTAATTTTGGAACAGAAATAGTTGTAATTCTCATTTGTGGAAAGAGAGCAGTGGTTATGGATGTGTAAGGTCCATGTGACTGAGACTGAAATACAGGAATTGCCTTGGCAGTGAATACTGCAAACTGAAGACTGAATTGTTGGGTAGTATAATTTTAAAGACATAATTAAATACTACTCCTGTATTAGTACTGAATTTTGACTTTTTTTTTTTTTACGTGTTTTTATTTCATTATTGCTTATTTTTTATGCTGTTTCTGGACTTGGTTTAATAACTGCCTTCTGATGAGTTTATTACACTTTTTTGGCAGGAATATCTGGATGTTTTGGGAAGACCAATGGTTTTAGCTGGAGAGAAAGCCAAACAAGTCCAATGGACAAATGTCTATCTGGATGCTCTGGTATGATCTGTATTTATCTCTAGTAAAGTAAGAATCTTATCAAATCAGCAACTATAGGGTCCATTTTCCACAGTCCTGAGGACTCAGTTTCCTACAGTTCCAAACATAATATTCTCGCATTTCCAGCATCTGTACACATCAATAGAGCAATTTTCTGAACAGCTATTTCTAACATGTTGGTCCTTACTTGCACCTAGTATCCTCCTAAGTGTCCTGACCTTTAACAGAGAAAAGCAATTTCTCCTACACAGTGATCTTTAAGTGTAGGTCATTGTTGTCCTCAAATTAACAAAAGAAAAAAAGCAGAAAATAGTTTTCCAGTGTTGTACCTATGCTGCAGTAGAGGTCATCTGTTACGTTACTGGTATGGAGTTATTTTTTTTTAAAGCATTCCAGGCAGAATGAAACCTGTCAATGTTATTGGGTATTTGCACAGATTTTGAAGTTGGGTCTCTAAACTATCATGGTGGTTGTAATTACTTGCTTGCTCAAGGTAATGATTTCTTTAATTGGACAGTGTATATAATGGGGAAATAAACGAAAAGATATATGAAATGCTTTCCTTACTGCTGAATTTATCACTTCGGTCTTGTAAAACAAACATATTCAGGAAACTACGAAATGCAAAGTATTATTAGCTGCAATCCAATCTGTTGCTCTAGATAACCTTCTTCTGAGTAACTCTAACTAGGCAAAAATTACTGCAAAATGGTCATCTGGAATCATGTATTTATCCAAGTTCACATGGTCATCTAATGTCATGTCAAAATCCACTTTTTCCCGTCAGTCAGCATTACTGTAAAGTTTTTATCAACTCATCATAGAACTGAGCGTGACACAAAGGAACCAGTTTTTCTTTGGAATTTCAATGGCCAGAAGTTCATTAACCATGTTTTCTTGGTTACTGTTGAGGTACTTACTGGAAACATAAAGGATGTTAGGACGAAAGTTCATATGTTCTGTACATATCCTGTTGTAAAGCCAAAGCTAAATTTATAACTGGGGATAGAAAGAGATCTGTTTAATGAAGTAAAATGAGTGATACCTGCAGACTTCTGTTGTGTTGCTTTATATTTTCAGTGGGTTCATTCAGTCTTTCCTTCAAACTTTTCTGCATTCATGTGTTTTGCATGTGTGTTTGGGTATAGATAATGATGTGTGTGTATAAACATATATATTTGTGTGTGTGCATACATATATATTTATAAAAAGTAGGGCATGTTCTTTTTACTAATATATTTATTAAGTGAAGACCAACCCAAGCTAAACTGTTGAGGTAAAGGCTGGAATTTGTGGACTTTCTCATCACAGATGAGAGCATAAAGGCACAGGTGTATCTAATCCACTCTGGAGCCTTTTCGTGATTCTTGGTTTTAGCAGGGATTGGGACTAGCTTGTTGCACTGGTTCTTTATCTTAAATTCCCGAAAGCAATTCCTTCCTGTAGGGCTTGCCCTTCTCCTGCTTGTGCCTCACTCGACTTCGTCCTATCCTTTTTCTCTTAGTGTCCAGCAGCTGTTTTGGGGCTGAGGCTAAAATAATGCAAAGTGTATTACATGAGGCCACATTTGAATAGAGCTTAAGTTCAGGTTATGAAATCCTAAAGAGGTACTTTCATTTGATGCTGTCTTTCAAGACTGTCTTTAATAATTTGATGTATTTGTGGCAATTCACACCTCTTTTCTTGCCCTGTTCCTTCAGATTCTGTTACAGTGTTGCTCTGGCCTCACTTTCTGCAAGATAATCCCAGAATTTTCAGATACTTTTAGGCTTACCAGTTAGTCGTAATTTATTCACAATTATTGTCCTCTCTCACTGTACATTTTTTTGGGGGGAGAGGGTGTTATCGCCCATACATACTCCTCTTCAATGCTACTTCTAAAAAATATCCTCCTCTCTCTTTTCTTCTGATTCATCTCCATTTCTTGCTTCTCTTATTCCCCTAAAAAGTCTACTTGTCCTTCTCTTCACCTTGCTTGTTGTAACATTACTAACTCTGATCTCATCACTTTTCATTTTATATGCAAACTTAAGTTCATGAATGATGGTTTAAAATTCAAAAAGGTGCTACTAGACTGGGCAAATGGAGAACTGATTTCATCAGAGTGGATTAATAAAGTACTTCATCTTATTTTTTCCTAATGAAACAAAGGCAGAGAAGTGATATGGTTTGTTTTGGAAGTTCCTCACTAAAATACATGGAAGGAGTAAGCATCAGTGAGGGGGGAAAATTTGAAATTAAAAACAAACATTAGGACAAAAAAAGGTAGAAATCTGCCTGTGGACAATTTAGGATGGAAAACAAATCTTTTCAGGCTATCTAAACGTATGGCTTTCTGGATCCTATTTTCAGTATGAGTTGTGACTGTTAATAAAGGAAAAAACAAATTTCTTATATCTGCCCTCAGTACCAGAAGGGACTATGTGATTTTGCAGAACTGATGATGGGCATTATTGCAAGCCATTGAAAAGTAGTGATGATATGAATAGTAGTAGTATTACCTGTTGGATTTTTCTGTTGATTTTGCCTGTATGTATTTGTTGCCTACCTATTTGCTATCTTTAAGTTTGGTTTGTCTTTCTCCTTTTTTTCTTTTTTTTTTTTCCCCCTACTATCTAGAGCTTTTATATAGTGGGAACTGTAGCTGTAAACATGTTTTCATAACATTTAGTTTTTATTAAACCATTATAACATAAATTGTTGCACACCATCTTTTTTTAAAAAGTAATTTATTATTCTCACTAACACATGGACACAAAAAATGTAATTTTAACTTTCTATGCATGAAATCAATGAATTTTTTTTTTTTTCTATAAACTAAAAGTCAGTACTCTAATCTAGTGTTTAGCTACAGTAATCCCTGGACTGTTCTAATATGTTATAGTTCAATATTTGTTATTTAACTAAAAAGTCTTTTTCTCCCCTCTGTATGTGATTGTTTCCTAGGAGCTGGGCCTTGTGATTACAGGAACTCTACCTGTCTTCAATCTAACAAAGGAACAAAATGGGAAAATAGTAAGCTCTTGCTTAAAACAAAAAAAGAAAAGAAAAATATCAGTTATTTGAATTAAATTTAATGCTAAACTCCTTGAAAAATGTGTATTTCCATAGAGCTTTCTACAGTTTAATTGTCTTGTACATCAGAAAAAAAGGGGTCATCTCTAGTTGCCTGATAACCTCCTGGGAACAAGAAAATGCAGATCACCCTTTTTGTAGTTCTGAGTTTCAGGGTATGACATTCCTTGATCTATCTCTGTGATCTGGTGGCAATGGGAATGCTTTAAGTGCTCAACAGATGGGAAGTATATGATGATATTATTCAGACCTCGCCAAGAAAGGAAGCGCAGATATATTTATAACAAGTCTGTGAAGCTATGACATTTCAGGGTAAAAGGCAATGATGTACAGACTTTAATTTAATTGTTTGTAATGATAATAGAAAATAGCACTTTGGGGGTTGGACTAGATGACCTTTAGAGGTCCCTTCCAACCCAAATTACTCTATGATTCTATGACTCTATGAAATATTCTCAAAGTCATGAAGACAGTAGATAAGGCAAATACACTGCTATTATTCATCAAATCCCACTGTGTACTTAGATTAAAATCTAAGTATTAAATAAATACAATTCTCCATCCCTATTACAGTCTGATAAGGAATCAATTTATGTCCTTTTTGCAAAATCAAAATGCTGCTTTTTTAAAATCAGACCTATAATATGCTTTACAAGATGTGGTAAAATACTGTACATTTGGTGTGATACTCATGTTCATTCAGGTCAAAATATACAGAAGTTTAGCCAAGATATTCTTTGATTCAGTTTCTCAGATATTAAATAGACTCAGAATGAATAAATATGAATTTGATCACTATCTTTTATTTACTTTCAGAATAGTTCTCTTAGTTTCCCTTTAAAAACAAAACAAAAGATTTTATAATCTTATCTACAAGATAATGCCTGGAATTCACTGAGTCCAGTTGTAAAGTGAGAGACTACTGATTATCAAAGTATGTCTTTCTGAGAAGTAAAACAGCCGTGGTCTAGTACAGAGGATCTGGATGGAACAAGAGGAAAACTTGAATCTGCTCGACTTAGGTCTCTACCTGAATTTTAGGTTAAACACTGCAAGATGCATCTTCCAATACATACTCCAAATTTATTTAATAGGGAGAAGGGATTCAGGTGCTACTATGTAAATGACTGCCACCCTTTTCTGTAGTAGGAAAACAAATTACAAGTAAAGTAAATGTGGTGCCTGATTTCAAATGCTGATGATTGATATAGTCACTGGTTTTTGGGGGTTTGTTGTTTGTGGTTTTTTTTTTTTTATTCATCATTATACCATAGCCAAAAGACGTTAGTTGTTTTGGGGTCTCAGTTATCAATTGCCTAACCTAAGTGTGCAATAGTAGCTCTGTATTGGTGCTAGTAATTTAGTATCTACGTCATTGGCAATATTAATGCATCACTTTTGCTTTCACCTGTTTTGTTCTTATGTTTATCATTTATTCATCCAGGAAAGCATCCATATTCTTCTTCATAAACAGTTTCCATGTTCTATACTAAATTCTGAATGTATAGAATGTTATTTTAAATCACTTGGATATTATTTAAAATGTTTAGAATAGTTACATAAGTAAATAGGCAACTTTTCAAGTAGTATTTGTCAAACGAGATGAAGGCAAAATCAAAATTCACTGACTGTTGCAGTTATTTTGCATTGTAAATATGCCAAACTTATTCTAACATTTTGGAATCTTGCCAGAATCAGCTGATTCTTGGAGTAATGGGGGTTGATGTCTCTTTGGAGGACATAAAAAAACTGACACCCCGATTTACGGTAAGTTGCTTGCGTTGGTGGTATCACTTCATGTATGATTTATGTATTATTTCTTTGCATGCTCTTTCATAAATCATACAGCAATGACTGGATGCGAGTCAAAATACCAGCAGGCTTCTTTTCATATATGCTTTTCTATTGTTGTAGATTTTCTGATGTTTTTTTCTCCAGCCATATATGTGCTTCTGTGTGAATTGGCTTTTACAGATGCATCTTGATGGACAACTTTTACATTGGGGGATATATTCCAAGCAATTATTTTCCTGTAGCTTAAGGCACTGCTCTTTAGTTGAGTGTTTGGTTCTTATCACAGTGTAGAGTACACAATCAACTTAGCTAATAATAATACTTAGCATTTATATAGGACAGTTCTTTATAGAAAAGTTCTTTAATATACTTGTCTGTCTGTACCCTACTCAGTATGATTGATTTATATATTTAGACATCTAACTGGGGAATTTCTAAGAAAATAACTAGTACTGTGGAAAACAACAACTGAGGAAGCAAAGGAACATCACGAATTTGACGGAAGGCAAATGCAAAGTCCTGCATCTAGAATGAAATAATCCCATGCCACAGTACAGGCTGGGACGGAATGCCTCAAAAGGCAGGAAAGGGTCTGGGGGTCATGGTGGAGGACAAGCTGAACATAAGTTAGCAGTGTGCCCTTGCAGTAAAGAAGGCCAGCTGTGCAGTGAACACCTGCACCAGGAGCACTGTGTCCAAGTTTGATCTTCTCGGTACAAGAAATACACTGGGATGCTGGACAGAGTCCAGTGCAGAGCCACTAAGTTGGCCAAGGGGCTGGAGTACATGGCATACGAGGAGAAGGTAAAAGAGTTGGGTTTGTTCAGACTGAAGAAGAAACCTAATGGGTTACCTAATGGGAGTTACAGAGATGAACCTTGACATTTCTTGAAGTCTTATAGCAAAAGACAAGAGGCAATCGTCATTGTTGTGGCAATGGAAATTCCAACTGGAAGTAAGGAAAAAAAAAATCATTGTGAGGGTGGTTAAACATTGGAGCAGGTTGCCCAGAGAGCTTGTGCAATTGCCATTGGAGGTATTCAAAGACCCTTTGAAACTTGGTCCAACTTTGAAGTTGGACTTATTTTGAAGTTAGCTCTGCTTTCAGTGAAGGGTTGTGTCAGGTGACCTCCAGTGGTCCCATCAGCCTAAATTATTCTCCAAGTTTGTGATTCTAAAAGAGTAAATATTAAGTAATTATCTTCTGTATGTTAATATCTCACATATTTCATCATGCCTGAGGCAATGTGTTTTCCTTAATATGACCATTGCTTGAAAACCATTAATTAATCTTTCTTTATTACTTAAAACCTTATAATGCTAAACTTCATTTCTTTCTTTCAGCTTTGTCCAAACGGATACTATTTTGCAATTGATCCTAATGGGTATGTGCTACTTCATCCAAATCTCCAACCAAAGGTATGAAAAACCTTCTAATTTATTTCTCTGTAATAAGGGGACATTGTCAGAAATAACAGAAACGTCTTAAGATCTGCTGAAAGTGCCAGAGAGCAATAGTAAAGATTTCTCAGTTGTGGGGGCGTCAGGAAAATCTGTGGTGCATGTATGGCTTCATCCCAATTTGCTTTAGTCAGCACAAAGACTGGTATTGCCTTGTATTGAATTTAGTTATCAATAAAATAAAAAAGATGTATATTTTACACACACATTTTTGTATGTGAAATAAGTGTTTTAGTATACCTATTAATATGAAAACCACTAGCGGTAGCTGTAATATCATTGTGAAGAGCTTGTAGTGTGTTACAAGATGCTCTCAAAGCAAACTCTGAGGAGTTTACTAGGGCACATGTTTATTTTGTGATGCTTTCTCATTTCAGAAATTGAAACTTCCATACTTGCAAAACCACAGAAATTGGGGGCAAACACAATGTATTTTTCTTGTATTTTTGTATTTGTTTATTTGCTTATTTTCTGTTTACCAGAGCTGAAACCTGAGCTGCAGAGTTGGGATGGATCTAGCTGAGCGCTCTTTCCCAGAATGCTAGATTTTTTTAGTAGTTCAACTTGAGAAAGGTCTTTCATCTTTAAGGAGGAAATCTTTATCTAAATCTGATTCAGACACAACTTTCCTCAAATTTCAGGAAAATTTAAACCCAATATTTCAGTCTGGCTTTATATCCATTAACTGTAGTCCTGACCCTGTGGGGACTCCTACATTACATGTATCTTCTTAAGTAAGTTGCCTCCCTGGCCTTCATGAGATACTACAACATGAATGGATGATTTTTTTTCTGAAATCAGAACTTTAATCTTTGTTTTAGTGAAGGGTTTCTCCATGTCAAACAATCTTCTATTTAGTGGAATATTTGAAAACGTTTGTATTTTAATTACATTAGAAACATACTTTCAGCGAATTTTGTCTCATGAGTTCATAGTGCACAAATGCAGCATTATATAAAAGACAAAGTTAACATTTTATTAACTAAAAATAATTAAAAAATCACTCCAGATTGAGAGAAATGTATGGAGTATTTACAGATAAAAAGTTAGAAATAATAATGAATCACTATACATATTGAAGATCAAACAATATATCCGTATAGTTCAGTTGTCAATATTAAAATTTCTCATTAAGGTGGTTTAAGCAATATACGGCCAAGATAAATGCAAGCTGTCAATACACAAGCAAATAAGGCTAGTGAGGCTTTTAAACTTTAGTGGCACCCTACTCCTAAAGTTAATTTTTAGCACTTAGTACACTTCAGAGAAACTTCTTAAGTAATGGAAGCCTGTATTTGCTGCCTTTAGGCATGGCAATACTGGTTTTTTGTACATTGGATGCATATCCATCACTTTATTCCTCCCAGCCATGTTCCTGTGGCAGAATAGCAGGAAGTCCTTGACCTCTTGGCTGTGCGACTGTCCTTTCTTGCTTCTTCACCAAAAAGTCCCATCATAGGTACAAGAGGGATAACAGACCCCCTTTTCACTACTTCACTGTCTTTAACTGTCAAAGACAGAAAAAGAAATAAAGAATTCATCTACAAATTTTAGTGATTCATTTAATTCTGAAGCTGGGGGAAGACAGCATTGTGACTATTTGAATTAATTTCCTGGTGAAGTAATGAATAGGTTTGAAATCTTTTGCCAAGTGTGTAACAAAAGAAGAAAGAAAAAAAATGCTTCTGAAGAAGAGAAAGAATAACTTGATCTTAACTATTGATGAAATATCCCTTTTGATTTATTTTGAAAGGACCCTTTTAAAAATAAAAGAAAAAAAAAAGGAAAAGAAGGTTTTATGCAGTGTTCATAATTTAGAAGGACTTCAGTTTCTGGATATATGCATTAGTTTTTCATGTGTTAAAAAATGAAAGTTTTGATTTGATGATTTTGCTTGGTGAATTATTCTGAGACAAATATATACATCATTACTGACCAAATCTTTTCTTCATTAGAGATTACTAGAAATGCAGATGATGGCGAGTGGTCTATTCACCTATTCCTTATATGCAATCATATCTTTTTGTTAACAGAAGGAACATAAAATGAAGCAATGCAGTATTCTCATGAAAGATGCTTTCACATACTACTCAAATGTTTGATTTATGTTTAAAAAAGAGTATTTTATGTTACATGTTTTATGTTGTAGAATAATGTCTAAATGTAATATTAAGCATATGCACTATTATTATTATTGTTATTGTTGTTATTAACAGTTACACAGACTAGACTTTTTCACTCCCAGTTTGTTTGGGGTGGTGCATGCTATTCAGACTGATACAAGAACTACGTTTTAAAACTAAGGTACACTACAAAGACAGATGTATTTAGAACTCATGGACCTCCTCTAACATGTCATTAATTTTAGTTGAACCTCCTGGTAGCCGTTAACTTATTAACAAACAACATCTTAACCCTCTTTGCCAGCAATTTTTCAATAGATGTAAACTAAAACATAACTACGTCTTTACCTTTGAAGAGGTGAGGATGTATTAAACTTCCAGCGGTCCCTTCTTCTGAATGTCTTCTGCTTTCCTTCTGAAAATCTGTTACCTCAAATCACAACTGGTTCAACACAATTAATATTTTGAGAAATTGTCTTGCAGTATCATCTCACAAAAAGAAGCCCCTAGAAATTTAGAACTTGTAAAGTCGTTTGCACAACTGAGAAAATTTAACAAAAGGCAGGTTCAAAAGTATATTAAAATCATTGAGAACTTTCCCATAATGTTCTTATTTGCACATGAAAACGACATCAAAGCATAACACAGGAAATTTTTTTTTAACTTTCTGTTTAATATAGTTTTAAACTGCTTAAAATACCATTTTTCAAGTTTGTGTAGTTAGTTATATTACATTTTTAAACAAATGCTTAATTTTATGTTTTTCTGCCAATTTTCTTTGTGTGTCTGTGCGTATGTGCATGTATTTTTCCCATTGTCCTGGGAGAGAACAGGTGGATATCCCACCAAATAAATATAGTCACTGAAATGAGTGCATTGAGCATGTGTTAACAAGATCAGTCTTAATTAGATAAGATTTGTAAAGAATAAATTATTCAATTTTTTAATCTATTCTAAAAATTAGCATCCTTTTCTCCACTTTCATTATGATTCTGATCAAAATCCATTTAATGGTAATTATAAAATTCTAGATGCCTTCAGTAGGGTCCAGTATTTTATCTTATGGTTTATGGTTTTGAAAGAAATGTAAGAGGAGATGGTTTTAAGAGCAGATATAACAGTAAACAAAAAGTGAAATTCTTCTCTTTCTGGAAGAGTATGTGGGAGGGAGGGCTCTCTTGTTAACTTATTTCACTGGTTCATCTATCTGGTGTTTGTTTCCCTAGACAAAATCTGTGTGTGATTCTGACAGAGAGCTCAGAACTCTTGATTGGAATGAGGGCTAGTCTCTGCTTCCAGTAAACGTGCACTGGAGAGTATAGATGTTGAGGGAAGGCTTCCATTCTATAAGTAGGCTGTTTATTAATAGTGTAAAAATATAAATTATTGCTTTTTTGTTACTTCAGCAAATTGGTGTGGGCATACCAAAAGTTAAATTGAGAAAAAGGAGACCCAATGTACAGGTAACTTTGGATGGAGGTGATTAGTGCATTAGAATGCATAGACCTGGAAATACAATTAGAAAGCTTCTGCCCTGCTTACTATGAAAAATCTAACTAGAGATCTGTTTACTTGGACAAACAGCTTCCAAAGCATGAAGCTTGCATCCTTCCTTGTTTATATAATAGAAAACATGTTATTGGCTGTAGTGAAGGGCATTCCATTAAATTATGGCGCTTTACTAATAGGTGCTAATTAGAGCCGTGCTGTAAAAATTATTCTTCAGATTTTGAAATGAATGTGAAGACTGGAAAAAAAAAGAGACTACTTGTGCTGGCTTTGCTTGCAGAAACCCAAAGTTAAGAGAAGATCATTCTTACAACTTTATTGCCAAGTTTTATTGTACAGTGTGTGCTGTAATGCTGTATAACATTACAGAATTTGAATGAACTGTTTAGTTTTTTTCTGGGGAAGTCAGAGTAGGGCATATGTTTGATCTGCTATTTACATCACATTTCTTGATTTAGCAAACCCAACTCCAGAGGATTAACTTCCATTAACCCGACCAGGGAAAAGGAAATTAAAAACATTTATGTAACACAATCCCTGAGCAGAAAAAACTTAATGAAAACTTAAAAATCATTAGAGGAATAGATTAACTATGTAAGTAGCAAAATAACAAAATTAGGTACACTATACCATGTTAATTTCTTACACATATGGGAATATATAATGCAAAACCAGTTGCTTGCATAACAACACCAGTAAAACATGGTGTAAAATCCTGATCTAATTCAAGTCAGTGATTTCACTGAGTCTTGAGTGGCTGTGTTTGTACCACACATGGTACAAACCATGTACAAACCACATGGTTTGTACCACCTCTGGGCTAGATTTTTTGTTTGTGCACTGGAGAAAGCAGCACTGGAACATAAAAAAAGTCTGTTTTCTGAGCAACCCTGGCTCCTCAGCGTGCTGTGATATGCTTTGGCTGTTGCTGGGTTTGCCTGGCTCTGCTGGCTGCCCAGGGAGGTGCAGCTCTGTAAAAGTGCTGGGCTCCCATCCACCCCAGGTGCCCCTGGGTCTCCCTCTGTGGCCCAGGATTTTGCTGCCTTCTTGCCATCTTTTATTTTAAAAGCCTAACAGCCTGTGTCTTCATTAGTACTGAAGGTATGAGTAGGAACTAGGCTCCTGCAACTCAGCAAAGAAGGCCTTCCATAGAATTTGTGAGAATACTGACCTCCCAAAACACACGACAATGACATTTTAGTGAACATTTTTTTTATGTTGCTGCACCAGTTCTTTCTTTCTTTGTTTCCTTCTTGATTTGTCATTGAAGTAATAGATCTTTGCCTTTATTTGTCATGCTGAAAATGGATTGCACTCCCTTTATTTGCATGCTTCATTGCTAGTGATTTACTTCTGTTTTGTTTCATTAAGTTGTGCTGGTGAATGTGGTGGTGGTGTGCTTATTCTAGTCATGTCACGTGCATGACTGGATAAAGAGAAGAGCAAACTGAACAGTAAGTTTGTTTCTTCATGGCTTGGAATAAACCCCACTAAATGGCAACCTTGGAAGGAAAAATTATGGAGCCCAAATATTGGTAAAAACATTCTTGGGGGAAAAAGACGTAGCGGGGAAAATAGTTTTCCATTTAAAGTACGGGGCTAGGAATTTTCTGTTCTAATTTCTAATGGATTTCTTTGTGCCTCAGGCACATCACATAATGTATCTATACATGCTTAGTTTCTTCATGTATTAAAAGGCATTAATAAGTACCTTATAAAGAATGTGTGGTGATATAATGTAAGTCTTAAAAAGAACAAGAGCAAACAGTTAATGTATACTTGAAATTTGACAGACTGTTGAAGTTGACTATTTTGTCTTTGGGACTCCTTAACTATGGCTAGCCTAGGTTATCATTTGAAATGAATATTGACCTTGATTTGATGTGATGGCTTTTGTTTTTCTTTTTTTTACCATTTCTTTTCTTCTCTGTTCCTTTGTGTGTTGGAATGGAATGTGAACTTCACAAATCCCTCCTCTGCCATGCCAATGCCTTCATGCATGCTGTTTGGGTTTGACCATGCTATTCATTATCCATTGCATGTAAGAAAATTTTTTTTTTCTTTAATTTATCTTTACATTTTAGCCTTTTGCTATTTATTTCAAGAGTGTGGATTTGTTGGGGGGAAAAAAGCAACTGCATAACAATAATTAAACTGTTTTGAATTAGTAGAGAGCATATGTTAATGCTATTATATTAAAGTTACTAATTTTATCTATCCTATATAAATAGGAACATAAAAATGTTTTTGAAGTTATCAGTAGACATTTAAAAGAAATATCCGGAATCTTTGTCTGAAATCTTTCCAATGCATATTCTCTGTCTGAGAATAAATTTATTGGCTTTTCTCTTAGCAGACAGTAAGTCTTACTTGCTAAGAAAAGGAATGATTCCATATACCCAGAAACATGTACATTTGTTCCTCAAGAATATGAAGGCATAATCTTTTGTCTTCTAACACTATTCTATATTACAGTCTTGAAAATAAAGACTACTGCTAAGCTCAATACTCCAGACTATTATATGAAGGCTTCTTTTACCAGTTATTCAGGACATTACTGTCTTCCACTACGAACTGGAAATACATACATAAATTATGATGAAACATGCTTGCATTCTTTGATAGAATAGCCACATGCACATTTGTCATGTACCTTTGCCAGACAATGTTAGGATAGAAGGAATATAATCGTCGTTTAGAAAGAAAGGACTGTAGTCTACCCTGTAAATAAGTTAGTATAGCAGAACCACTGAAATCCTCTAAAAATGTCATCAGAATTTACACTAGTCTTGAAATAATAGTATCAGCTAATGACAATTTTTGTGTTGCTAATCATAGGAGAAACAGTCCTCAGTTACTGAGAAAACTACACCTTGAGATCCTTTCATGTATGAACTGTCCTATTACACAAAGCAAATTATTATCAATCAAAATAAATTACTAAAACTGGACCTTTTTCATCTTCTGTTCTAAACTATCAGATTTAAATGGGTAAATAATATATCCCCATACTTTTTTCTAAAGATCCTTCATTAAGTGGGTGCATTAAATAACTATTGAGTGATGAGGATTGAGGATTTTTACACCACACATAATATAAAGTCAGTGGGGCTTAGGCAAAATTACTCAAAAAAAAAAAAAAAGTCTCAGAGTCAGATTCCTAACAACTCATATGGAAGATGGCTCTGTCCAAGTAAATGCAGACTGCAACTGAGAAGAGAGTAGAGACTGGAGGGTGGTCTGAGCTAGTTCAGCAGAGCTACAATGGTCTTCCCACACTCCTATGGGACCAGGGTTACTGCAGATGCATACCACCAAACTTCTCTGTGCTCCATAGTTGAGGGTCGACATCATGTACATTCCTTAGGTCTTGAAGCTGCTGGGTCACAGTATTTCTGTGCTACAGGTTTCCATCTCTTAAATTGAGATAACAGTACTGATGTCGAGAGAAATGCATTCAAAACTGCAAGGTGCTCAGGGAAGTCCTGTAATGCTGACAAAAAAAAGTTATTTTTATTTTCTTATAATAAAGAAATCCTTTATTATAATTGCTGCCTCTTTGAATCTTGAGTCACAGTCCATTCCCACCTCATAACAGCAAGTTTGTAGTCTGCTTTTGGCAAAATTGCAAAAGAGTAAAATTATCCCATCTTACCAGTCAGCTGGAAAACTTTCCCAAATTTCCCTCTCCCTTCTTGGAGGCAGGAAACTTAATGAGAGATTCATATCTGATGCTTCCTCTGATGCGTCTTCTCCCACCCTTACAGCTTGTGACATACCAGCAGTAGGGGAAGCAGCTTCCCAGCATGAGCCCCATACATGACAGACTGTGTATGGACGTTAGCCATTAGTGTTAATTTGATTTTCACTTCTCCAATTAACCTCTCTATCCAATGAAATAAAATAAATGAGAAAAGGCCACTAGTAATTCATCATGCTGTAAGAGATTAAAATAGATGGGTAAGTAAACCCAGTTAAGTAGCTTACTTAGAAATGAAGGGATTAGAATGATTTGTAACATTACAATACTCTGTCTTTATTATTTGATCATTCAATATCTTCTGCTTCAGAATCCTAAATCCCAGGAGCCTGTTACGCTGGATTTTCTAGATGCTGAATTGGAAAATGATATTAAAGTTGAGGTGAGATTACCTGGTTTCTCAGTACCTGTTGCTGCTTGCATTTCACTGTATAACAACTGAAAAGCAAAAAAATATTTCTACATTTTGAATGGGAATCTATTTCACTATAAATTTCAATTTTAAATTTGTCAAGATGATGACTTTATAGACAGACAAAGTTATAATGAAACAAATTGAGAACCGGTACTATACGTAGACAAGGGCAATGCATTATATTCTTCTCATTTTGAAAGACACCATGATTGCTATTTGAATAATTCTTCTTCATTAAGTGGCAATTGCTGGGGTGGGGGCTTATAAAATTTTTCAGAACAGAACACTTTTTAATAGGATATTAATATATTACCTGAAATATTTTAAAAGTATTTTCCTACCTCTTACTAACGCAAGCTTATTGCTGTGGCGAGAGAGAGAACTGAGAAATAAAGTTAAGTGTTGACAACAAATTAAATCCTCTGTATATTTTTTCAGTTACTAATTTTGTAATACATTCAGAAATCAGAATTTTTAAAAACAGTTTGTTAGTTTTGTGAAATAAAATGGAGGATTTTTAAACAATTTACATTTTTTTAACATTTTTTCACTTCATTTGAAATTTTCTTTCATAATGACACTATTGGTATCTGTTAAATTCTGCCTCAAGTTTCTTTGAAACTCCTGCTTCAGAGAGGAATCACTCTTGGACTGGTATAAAAATGTTTTTGTGAATCACTGCTGCTACCAGTATCACACAGATGTGCTGGGAAGCACGAGAAATGCTAGAGAAAACTCATTCTCGTCCACACAGAATTCATTCTCTCTCTAGTGCCCAGCATCAAGGGGGTTTATGGGATGGTCTTGCTATGCAAAGTATACCAGAATTGTTACTTCATAACTCTACTGGTTGAGTATATATTTGGATAAAGCAACTTCTAATTAGAAAAATCTGAAAATTGTAAACTTAACTTTTTTTTTTAAGAGCTATGACTTTCATACACATTACCATTTTCTGTGCGTGTGTGAAATACTTTGAATCACTGAAAAGATTATTCATGTTACGTGCAGCACCTAGTTCTTTTTTTTTTTTTTTCCTTTTTCTTTCTTGCCAATAGATTCGGAAAAAAATGATAGATGGAGAAAGTGGAGAAAAAACATTTGAAACGCTGGTCAAGTCCCAAGATGAGGTAAGATAGGAACACAGGCAATTACAATTACAGGAACAAACAAAACCAGAAAAATACTATGAAATGGTGAAAAAATGTTCATTTTGTAATGTCAGTTTGTATCATTTTCCCCTCTAGATTTGGTAGTTTTACTGGCTTATAGTAAAAGAAATTATACACTTATGAAAAGAAGAATTGTTTTGTTTCTTGGTTTCTTTGGTGCATCATTAATCAGGCAGTTGTTGATGAGGTCTTACACTGTTCACCAGGAAATGGACCCAGCCTACTGCTGTGTATGAATCCCAAAACAAAGTTCTTCGTTTGCTTGCGGAGATGTGTGAGGATGGGTTTGGTGGTTTATATTGTGGTTGAATGGGAAGAAAGTAGTGAGAAAAATATATAACATTTATATGCCATAAATGAAGAATATTTGGGATAAGCAAATTCAACTTACAGTTATATTATGTACTTGTGCTTTCTTAACAGCTTGTTGAGTTCTTTATTTTCTTGTCCAAAATGCTCATTCCTGATAAAGGTTACTACCGGTTTCTCTAATAAGAAAGATATGAAGAAGTACTCAAATTTTATATGGGTCCTTACATGTATGCTCTACTTCTGGAGGACCTTAATGAGAATAAATCATGACTGGTGTGCCAAAGGAGCAGTTCTGGCCAGAGTATGCCCCACAGTTACAGTTCTACAACAACTTTTTGAAACTGTTTTACTCTGAATGTAAAGCAGCTTGAAGATAGCCAATTTAATGACTTAGCAGAAGAACATGAAGCAAATATAACATCAGGCAGACACTACACAACCCTTATATGTATGAGCACACCATAACAATACTCAGCAGAATTGCTTGGGAGCGTGCAGTTAATTTTTCATGTGTAGTATTAGCTGCCCGCTTCTGTTGATCTCCTGTAACTTTGCTATCTCCAATGGCTCTGCTGTTTGTACTTAAATGGCAGAGTGTTCCGGTGAAAAGTTCCTCCTTCTCACAAGGCACGTGCTACAGAATCTAATCAAGTTAAATTGACAGGAAATCAGGCCTCAGAGTTTAGGGGGTTTTTATTCTGTTAAAAACAGCACATTCCTTACTTATATTCCATTCAATGTCTAATAGATCTTAGCAACTTTTAAACTCTGCTTTAAATTGTGGCCAGATTACACGAAGTGATGCCCAATACTGAGCAGTTCTTATTACCAGTCCTCTGACTCAACTCTGCATTGAGGGATGATTCTTATATACTTCTTCTCATTTTGATACAGAAAAAAATATTTCATAGTCTTAGTCTATTTTTGCATTAAACATGGTAGAAACTTACTTGTCTTCATGGGTGAAAATCAGTGACAATGCACATGTTGCCTTTTAGATGAGGCTGAAAATGGAGCTGAATTTTCTGAAACATGTCTTGATTGTTCATCCATGCTGTGATTTCACAATGTCAAGTTCATGGTCACTTGGTTCCGCAACAGACCTTTGGGAACATACTTAGAATCATAGAATAGTTTGGGTTGGAAGGGACCTCTAAAGGTCATCTAGTCCAACCTCCCTGCCGTGGGCAGGGACATCTTCAACTAGATCAGGTTGCTCAGAGCCCCCTCCAACCTGGCCTGGAATGTTTCCAGGGATGGGGCAGCCACCACCTCTCTGGGCAACCTGTTCCAGTGCTCCACCACCCTCATTGTAGAAAATTTCTTCCTTAGATCTAGTCTAAATCTACCCTCTTTTAGTTTAAAACCGTTACCCCTTGACCTGTTGCAACAGGCCCTGCTAAAAAGTCTGTTCCCATCTTTCTAATAGGCCCCCTCTAAATACTGAAAGGCTGCAATAAGGTCTCCCCGAAGCCTTCTCTTCTCCAGGCTGAACAACCCCAGCTCTCTCAGCCTTTCTTCATAAGGAGAGGTGTTCCATTCCTCTGATGATCTTCGTGGCCCTCCTCTGGACCCGCTCCAACAGGTCCATGTCTTTCCCGTACTGAGGACTCTAGAGCTGGACATCCCATGACCGTTCCTCAGCCTCTTAGTATCTGCACTGGATTTGACTAAGCATGCTGCTTCTGATAGTGTAATTTAAAAGGAGTGCAAATAAGGACAGGAAGCCATGCTCAAGATCTTCACAACTGTGCAAATCCATCAGAGGCATTCTTTATTCCTGAGCTATGGGTGTCATTCAGGAGATCAGTGGCTTTACTTGCATGTGTGTCCACCTGTGAGGAGACAGATTAAAATCTGTATATTCATTCAACTCCCTGCTAACAAGACTGTGACTTTGTGGCAGAAAGGTAATCATGGTATTTTATTATATTGCAGAACCTAGGGAATTTGACTTAGTGTTGGGCGCTGTCTTCCTTCTGATACCCTATTCAGAAAATGCAGAACCTCATAGACTCTCTTCTTGAGTACAGAACCTCAGCTTCAGTGGGGGAAGACAAATGTAACTGTAGATGATCTTAGCTGAAAGATGATTGTAATGATGATCATGTAATCCTGTAGGCAGCAGAGTCATACTTTCCTACTTTATTCTCTATGAGGGAAGTCAACCTAACTCAAGCCTTATACACTTACCTTGTCCAGGTGCAAAGTGTGCCCATAAGTTATGGTCCCTGAAGCTGTGGAGTCCCATGATCTCATTAAATGTGCCCACACTCCTTCTCTGTTTATGACTTCATGCTGCCTTTCACCTCTTCCCGTGTTCTTCTAAAGCAGAGACCTGTACCAGCAGTCCCCTTGCCTTCTGCCAGGACTCTCTTCTGTGCTTTCTCACAATAAAGCCCCCATCCCAGCCCTCCTGAGTAAGACTTTACAATGCTGCTTTGCAATCTATGGGGAAATCCTGCTGTGTGAAAAAAATGTGCCTTTTCCTGAATGGCTCCACTGTTGCAGGATGGTGAATGAATAGGGCCTTCCTGGGGCAGGGAGGGTAAGCCCCATCTGATCTCAATTCTGCTACCTTACCTGTGTCAGGAGCCCATCCTGTCTAGGAAGCCACCAGCCTGTCCCCCTGTTGTGAAGGAAGACTGGGTCATGCCTGACCCACAGTTGGAGAATCCAAAGTCCTGCTGGCATCTGCACTGGGGATAAGCTGCTCCTGAAGGGAGGGACTCACAGGGACATTTTCAGACTTGTGCTGTCGTTTTGTTTAAGGAATGCCTTTCCAAGCCTATGGGTGAAAAGGGCTCTGTGTAGGTGGTTAGAAAAGGGAGGATTAGAAGGTTACAAAAACACAATAACACCATTGGGGTTATACAAGAAATTGCATTCATGGCAAAGCTGTTGAAGAGATCTCAGGTTGTGCATGCGTTTTTCAGGCTGTGTGGTAATAAAAGACCTGAAACCATTGGTCCTGCAACTGTTTTCCCAAAGAGGGAGGGAGGGGAAGCATTTATACTTGCAAATGCTGGAGTCAGCTACAGCGTTGAGGTGGGTGGCGGGGAGAGAACATGATGTCCCTGAGTGCATGAGGATGTGTCAGTTATGCACAGCCCAGACCACAATCTGTATTTGAATAGAATATCCCAAGCCTTTTGATCCCAGATGCTTCAAGTGCCCAATTAAATTAATTTCCCTCACCTTCCCTTGCATCATGGCGCAAGATTTCTTCCTCTACTTGGATCTCTCTGAGAGAAGAAGGGAGCAGCCAGAGATGGCTGGCAATGGTGACTGCTTCAAGCCATTGCACCCTCCCAGCTCTAGGCTGCTAGAGCCAGAATAAAGCTGCTTCAGACCACGGGCCACGTATGAGCCATGCATCACTTAGGACTTGATAGCTTCATATATTTTCTTATAAAAAGGGCTGATGTGGTCAGTTGCTCTGAACTGACAGTTGCAGTCTTGAGGCTTAAAATTCATGTCCTTTTTGTTTTGCTTTTTGGTTTAAGTTTGCATTGCTTTCCTTTTGTATTGCAGCTGGCCCCAGCAGTGTCTTGGGAGATGACCTCATACTACAGCATAGAGACTGGACTTGTAGCAAGCGTGGGTGGGGTGCACTGGAGTCTCCCAAGGCCTCAGGGGCTTTCCAGCTAACAGAGAAGATGCCATAGGAACAAAAGCATTGCCACATTCGGGCAGCCGGGGTGGGCAGTAGTGAAAACTGAAGGGCCACAAAAACTGCAATAACATCTGTAGGTTCTTTGGCAGTGACCAGCTGGGGGTAAGATGGTCTCAGACTGCTCAGTAATGAAGTAGGCAAAGGTAAATGGGAGCAGACGTATGAGGACTTGTCATCTCCTGGATTATCTTTGAAGGGAGATTTCAGCCGGTTTGCTTTCAAACATGTTCATAGTGCTGGTGGCAACAGGATTTACTATGAGCCCAGTTCTTCTCTTCCTTTCTTCCCACCTTGAGCACTACTTTTCTCTTGCCAATGTACACGGTGTGCGACCCGTGGCACTGTGCCTAGTTCGGAGGGGCTGCCAGTTCTAGGTTCAAGTGTCTGCTTTTCTTGAGCTGAAATAATAGTATAGGCACATTATTAAATATAAATAGGCTTGGATAAGAGTCTCTTCAGCCATCTTTTTACCTTAAATATTAAATATATCAGGGCATCAGATGCTGATATATGCATCTTTTTTTTCTTTTTTCTTTTTTTGTCTCCTTTTTTTCTTTTTTTTTCTTTTTCTTTCCAAAATGACTATTAAATTATTTACACTGTCATGCTGTGCTGAAAAGCAGCAGCCAGGTAATGAGAAGGTTTCAAATCATAAATGTCAAAAAAGACACCTTTTTTTCATAACCACGGTCACTTTCACACTTTTGTTTTACTGCAGGGAAAGAAAAAACGTAGACGTATACCTGTGGTACCTTTCACCAATGTTTGTAATGTTGCAGTGCAACAGCTGCACAGACTTCATTGCTGGCATACTTACAAATGTCTGATTGTAAAATAATAATGTGTTGCAGCTGGCATAAACTTGTAGTTTTCAAAGTGGAAAATTGAGTGAAACGATGTCAGCCAGGTGCATTAATGATTAAATCTATGGGGAACTGTGAGACTGTGTCTATCACATCATTTTTCATACCAAAAGAAAATGAATGGTAAAGCTTATCCTAATGTATTAAATTATTTAAAAATAAACATTTACTTCCATGTTAAATTTTTCACAAATTCAAAAACCTCCTAATGAGATTAGAAACAGATGTAAGTTTAGCATGGGGTGCCTATACAATCAGGACTACCTGGCTGTGCCTGTAGATATGACTTAAATTGAAAAGCAGTTAGCCAGTGGTACTGTGACCCAAAAGGACAGGCACTAGCTGTTTTTGTTGTTAAAGAGTTACCTACAAAGTCTTTTTATAATTGAGATTTTTTGTTTTCATAGTTTAACTGCAAAATGGTCCATAAAGGAGATAACATTTTATCAAATTTAAATCACATAGAAACAGGTTTGCATAGGCCTGGCTAATGAATTTAAAAGGGTGTCCTGGTTTCAGCTGCGATAGAGCTAATTGTCTTCCTAGTAGCTGGTACAGTGCTGTGTTTTGGATTTAGGATGAGAATAACATTAATAACACACCGATGTTTTAGTTGTTGCTAAGCAGTGCTGATACTAAGTCAAGGACTTTTCAGCTTCCCATGCTCTACCCACTGAGAAGGCTGGAGGTGCACAAGAAGCTGGGAGGGGGCACAGCCAGGACAGCTGACCCAAACTGGCCAAAGGGACATTCCATACCATGTGACGTCATGCTCAGTACATAAACTGGGGGAAGCTGGCCGGGGGGGGCCGCTGCTCGGGGACTGGCTGGGCATCGGTCGGTGGGTGGTGAGCAATTGCACTGTGCATCACTTGCTTTGTGTATTATTATTATTATTATTATTATTATTATTTTATTGTTTCAATTATTAAACTGTTTTTATCTCAACCCACAAGTTTTCTCACTTTTACTCTTCCTATTCTCTCCCCCACCCCACCGGGGAGGGGGGGGAGGGCGGGGAGTGAGCAAGCAGCTATGTGGTGCTCAGTTGCCGACTGAGGTTAAACCATGACAAAGGGAAAATGATAGGTCATGTTTGTCTGGTTTTAGTTAAATTTGCATTTCATTAATGTTCAATAAAAAGGATATAGGTGATTCTTTTGCTAAATAATAAATAGAATTCCAACAAATTTGTACTTGATTTTACACTGTATTTCTCAAGAAAAGGGCACGCTTATTGAAGCTTCAGATTTAATAATGTATTTTTTCATCAATATTTCTTTGTAGAGATATATTGATAAAGGAAACAGAACATATACATGGACTGCTGTGAATGGCACTGATTACAGGTAACTAATTTCTGATCTCTGACTTCTTTTGTGTAGTTAAATGTCCTTTTTGTTTATTTTGATTAATATTTTAGCGTTACATTTTCTATACTAGCTAAGCCAGGACCAGACCCTCTTGTGTCCAGGCCTGTAGGATTTGCTGGGTTCCTTTACAGCTCAGAATTGTTGCTCTGTCTAAGGACCAGAACCTCAGTCTTTCATCCAACTGTTCAGATTTATCACTAGGGTATTTCAGTATGCAGGAAAAAAGGTTTTTATGATTGATGTTCAGAATCTTACTTTTCCTCCTACTTTTTGTATCACACCATACTTTGATTCTTAATTGTACACCTTCTCTTAGATGCCTCCTCTTATTTCATCTTTTCTTTGCATTGTCTCCATGTTCTTGTTTTAATATGCATATTAAAAAGGAAGATGCTATATTTTGGTCTAAATAAAAAATGTGACATGTTTTGTGCAAATCTTTTTCAGGCACAGTCATTGCTTATATCATAACTTTGCTAACCTCCATGTCAGATCTTAGGGGCAGGAACCATGCTGCTGATTATCTCCGAAATCTCTATCTATTTGTGACAAGTTTTAGCTAATTAGCACTGATACTGCTTTGTATATAAAAATCAGATGGTGAATGGCAGCAGAAACAAATGAAGTAATGGGTAAAAGCACGTCCCCCCTTGAATGCAACGTTGGCATGTATATTATCTCAAACTCGTTTAAGCACACAGCTCTGTAACTTCAGAAGGAATGTAGAAACTTGATATTATCCAAAACAAGTTAAGGTTTACCTAGTCCCAGAAAAGTTAAACTGCTCTAGTTCAAAACTAGATGGTACAAATATTGAGTCAAATTTTTACTAAAACAATATTTTTATCGTGGTGAATTACAGTAGTCCTCAGCCAAGCTGGTTCCCATTTTTTGTTGTGTTCTGCACAGGTGTACAGCCAAGGAGAATGCAAAAGTCAGCTCACATGTAAAACAAAATAAATGAGTTTTAACAAGAGAATGCAAATATAGGACTTTATCTTTTATTCAGCATCCTATTTTTCTGTTGAATTGCCTCTATCTTTATACTCTGTAAGAAAAGAAAGTTTTTTTTAATCAGACTATGCCATCTAGCAATCAGTAAAGAAATACATTTGATTTAGATGACTTCTTAATTCTTACTGAGCTCACTGGCATGAGATATAGCAATAAATCCGTGGAGTCACATTGCAGCAAACCTATTAAACATAAAATTATAGATTTTAATTAGCAATTTCTGCTAGCAGTATCTGTTAATGACAGGTAAACTACTACTGATTTCCCTAGAGGAGAAATGGTAGAAGGCTATCACTAAATATTCAGCAATCTCACTTACATTCTCTTTAAATGGCAAATGTATCATTAAAGGTCATCTCATTTATGGCTCAATTGTACAACTTTTTAATGTTAATTTCTGCAGCTATCCATTAGAAACCATTGCAGTTCTACAGTCATGAAATCTGAGTGCAAATATTAAGGATGCGATGTGGGAGATGATGCTACTTTAATGATTACTTGTACCTCCTGTCCTTTACCTACCTTTTTAGAACTGACCTCTTCTACATATGTATTGAATTTAGTTGCAAAAAGAAGCCCTATATTTTTTGAACAAAATTAAGTATAATCTAAAAGAAAATATATTGCAAATCTTAAAATGTTATTACACAAGGATGTTCAAAGGTTTTTAGTGGTGACTGCATGATTCAAGAAAATATTTTGCATCTTGAACATAATGTGAATTCAAGTATTGCCAGAGACGTTTCCTAATTAATACTGATAGTTGTTTTATTAGTAAAAGGAGAATCTGTCATTATATGATGCATGCAAATCAGTGCAATACTACCTGCTGTTTTTTACAGTCAGTGATCATTTTGACATATGTTACATTGGGATGCTAAATGTGTTAGAGGAAGATACAAGAAATCATGTATTTTATTATTTGCAATTATTCGGAAAGTCCTTGCTTATCTGTTAAAAGGTGCATTTATGCTTAAATGCATAAATAAGAATGAAAATAAACACAGGGAACTTCAAGACCGGCATGAACCTACTTGTGTCTATTACAAAGTGTGAGGCTGGTATGTTGCTGTATAACTACCTCATCTCATGATGATCCAACTTCCAAACTTGATAATTGCTTTCAAAACACATAGAAGCTGAAACTGGAAAACTGCTGCAAATAACATAATCGCTTTACTTGTCTCATTTCTATTGCAGTTTGGCATTGGTGTTACCATCATACAGCTTTTATTATATTAAAGCCAAAATAGAAGAACCAATAACTCAAGCCAGATGTAAGTACTATGAAGGTTCCCTGGTTTTGTCTAGTATTGCCAAGTCTCAGATTCACTTAAAAAAGCAACGCTTAAAATTCATAAATTTTGTGGAATTCACTGATGTTATCATGATGTACCCAAAATCTGCAGCAATGATTCTAAGCCATTGTAACATCCAACGTACAAGAAATATTCTATGAAGATAGAATATGTGCAGGTACCCCAGTTCGACTGACAATCCCTTCCCCCTTGCTCTGTGCCTATTGAATCATTGCTTTGTGTATCCTCTGTTGCTGTCATTTTAAAGGTCTGGATACTAATTTTCTCATTCTATTAGCTAAATATCATGAAATAGACTATAGTAGTAAAGTGGGGTTTTTGTTATTTTTACAGTGTCATATTTAGCAAATTACCTCCACTGCCTGTAGAAAAAGATTAACGTGAAAGCGCTGTTTGGTTTGGCTTGCAGCTAGGTTTTTATTTTGCACTTTACAAATAGTTTTAGTGGATGTTTGTAATGTATTTTTGGATTAGACTAATTTCAAGCCATTTACAGATTCTGGAGAGATAATTGGAAATGATACTTGTGAGTATTCAGAAGCTTTTTGTTTATTAGGTGTAGCTTAACTATAATCTAGATAGTAGACAAAATAGAACCCATCACATCCTTTTAACTTTATCCAAGTGTTACGATAAACTTGAACAAACGTGCAGTTAAATAGAAAATTAGAAAAGCACTATGAATCTCTCTGACAAGTGTAGATACTGCTAGTTTAAAGAAAACTTGATTAGTGCTAAATCACTGTCCTTTACCATCACCTCCTGCATTTGAAGTAGAATATGACAAGTTTTTAATAATCAGTGATTTATTTTGTAACTTTGTCAAATAGTAAGTAGTTTAAAATTAAAGTTGTAGCGAGTGAATATGGCTCTCTTGATGGATTAGATCATCTGGTTCTGCACTTGTATCAATATAACCTGTAAAACAGGCCCTTGAAATAGCCACAGTATATAGAAGGTACTTGAGAAATAATTGAGAAGGACATATTCTTCAGTCTGCAAAGATGTTTGTCTTTTTTTCCAGACTACAGCTGTATGTAAATTGAACCTTTGATCTATCTATACACAATATTTTTATTCAAGGGGCTGTTTGAATAAAATATTGGTTTGTGACCCCTTTTGCTTTACCCTGTTTTTTTCTGTTTCCCTGCTTTCTCTTTCTGATGGATAGTGGCAATCAAAAAGGGCAAGTATATTCTTGTTGCTCAATTTCCTTCTGTTTACTGCAGTTGATATTTTTCACTTCTATTTCTATTCCTACTGGATATTCTCCTCTGTATTCCTCATCTCAGGATTTTTCCCATGCTCATTGGGTACCATAGCAATAGAAAGGAAAAAAAAGATGTGTTTTTCTGTTTTCACGCACATTTCAATATGTTGCTAATCTCTAATCCTTCTTTGTCTGGTCCTATTAGTGTTCAGTGACACCAGCTATTGAAGCCATTATTTTCAGTAGCATTTAAAGTGATGCTTATACGGATGAGTTTTTAAACTTTATTGCAGAAAATACTAGAAGCATTTTCCTTCATGTTCTAACAACTCGGTGTCCCAAATATTTCTTTGTATCAGATTGTAATTCTAATGGAAACATCTCATATGTTTTCATGTTGTCACATTAATGAAATGTCTTCTCTAAGTAAGTTGTTAGATACATTATTGTTGCCAGGTGTATGTTGTATATAATAATCAAGTAATTTCTTCCTATGCTATGAAATACTGAGAAGTATACAGTATATTAGTAGGAAAGTGTCTCAAAATAAACATTTATTTTTAAATTCATGAATGCATGCAAAAGCTAGTCAAATATTTTGAGAAGAAAAATGATGGCAAAAAGCCCCGTTTACTTACTTGGTGTTTATTCTTCATCTTTGTAGATTCAGAAACACTGAAGCTTGATCATTTTGATGAAGCTGGCTACACGTTTATAGCACCAAGGTTGGTTAATTTCCTAGTAATAAGTATTATTTCAGCAGTAAATAGGGATTTGATCAGACTAATGACATTTACAAAATACTGACTTGACCAGTAGAGTTTCATTTTGGTAAAAAATGTTAAGTAAAAGACCAGTTGTTAAATCCATGTTTTACAAGATCAATCTTTTCTTCTTGCTAGAGTGTAAATAGCATCTTCAGGCTCTGATTCTCTGATTTTATATTGATCAAAGACAGCTGTAAAGTCTGACTGTCATCATTTATTGACGTTTTTAATGGAAATCTTCTACACATCTATTCATTTCTTGTGGCTGTGACTTTTAAGATTTTACAACTTTGTACCTTAGCTTCTCACTGGTAAAATAGGTACCATAATACTTAACTCGAGATGTTTTCCAACTTCAAGATAAAGTGTTACAAAGCTCTCTATCACTTAAGGATGAATTAAATTTTGATTCATCGAACATAAAAAATGATTGAGCCATTGAAAATTGATCAAGTAAGTTCATTAGTTCCCTGTTTTTTCATGTGAAATTGTGTAGCCCTTGTTTCCCTTGTAAATGTATGTTTGCAAGGGAAACATGGTGTGATAAATACTTCTTAAAAATTAAGTTCCTTTAAAAGATAGTTATGATAAATGAAGGAAATGCTGTACCATTAAGATCAGTTAAGAATTGTTGCATTTCTTATTTATCTTATAAATTCTGGTATCCTTTTAAATTTCAATGGATAGATTGATTTCAATGAATAGATTAATTCGTGTGTAAAAGAGTCTTCTATCTTCAAATGTATTCTCAGCTTAACTGTTTAATTTAATTTTTCTGAAGGACTGAAGTTATTGATAATCAATTGTAATAATTAGCAGTTTCCAGCAAGTCCCTAGTTGTTAGGTTGATCTACATGAACAAAGCCTGTTTGATACGGACCTCTGTTTAAATGTGAATGTTGGTATAGTAAGGCAAATTCTGCCTGTAGTCTTTCAGGATCATGGTAAAGTAAGTAAAGGGTAGTAAGATAGCTTATTCATATGAAATACTTGAACAGACTTCTTTTGTTCGTAAAATTAATTTAATATAAAAAGCTCATTTAAAAAGAGAGCTCCCTGCTTTACTGCTGAATACCGTCTACATTTTAATTATAGTTGTTTAATGCCACTCACCATCTAATATTTGACTTCAAAATGCTCAGTGACCTTTATTGTGCTTGCTTGTATTCAGTGAATTGCCAAATGATATATTGCTTTATTTTATTACATTATGTAAAGGACAGTAGTTTACGGTTTATCTGTTTTGCATATGTCAAAACAAAGAGTGTTTATATGCTTATGTGCTGTGTACCCCATTAAAATTGCCTTTAAGACTTCTCAGAGGATAGGACCTTATCCCATAAACCTAGCCTTAGCTGAGCATGAAGTGACTGTTTTAAACAGCAGTCCATGTACTTTCCAGTACAGTTTAACCCAGAAGCAGCCTAAATTCACTGGGCATTTTCTTGTTTAGTTTACAGACTCTATGATCTCCTAATTTCATGGCCTACACTAGTTCTGAGTGCTTTTTCTGAGAATCTATGCCCTATCTCATACATGGAGTTTTCTTATAATTCAGATTTAGGCAGGCACTTGAACACTTTATTTCCTGTAGATGCCTGAAATATTCAATATGGTCAACATTCAACATTGACCGTGGTAGTCAACTGATGTAGTAGTGCCAGCCACCTTATTATAGTTGCACAATTCTGCTTGGACTTTAAAATTGCTGAGCCGTATTTGTCTGCTTTAGCAGCAAAGGAAACAAATCTGAGAAGACTGATGTTTTGTTGTTTTTCAGAGAATACTGTAATGATGTAAAAAAATCAGAAAACAACACTGAATTTCTATTAAATTTCAATGAATTTATTGACAGAAATACTCCAAGCAGTCCGTCATGTAAGTATTCTTCTCAATGCAGTGAAATTTTTCCTTAGGAAAATACTTACTCATAAATGAGAATTAGTCACAATGACGGCTTTCATGCCTGAATCATGTGGGTCTGTTTTTTATCTTCACTGATTTATTTTTTTTTTAGTAGAAATACATTTAGTGTTGGGATTTTCTACCCAAGGTAGAGATTGTAAAATTAGTTTGCAGTTTTCTGGGTTTATTTAAGAAAGTTTGCAGGGCATTATGGATCCAGTGTTTTCCACAGTTCCTTTCAGCATTCTGTTCTAACAGCAAATAACTACCAGCTCATTTTAATACACTCCAAATATTGTGAATTTATAGTTTTTTCTCTTAAGCATATCAGCCAAAGTAAGTCTCAAATAAACTTCAAAATCTTGTAATGAAATCTTCAGTCTGTTTTCTTGTAAGCTTATATAACCAAAATAAGTGAAGAAAAGGAGCCGAGAACCAAAATAACCAATAACCAGAATAAAAGATAAGGAAGTTCTATTGCGGGTTCACAAATTGGTTACAGAGATCTTGCTTGGTCTTGAGTTGTTTAAGACCAAAGATTCATGTAATTGCCGCAGTGGTGAGCACTGGGCTTTGGGGAGGTATTCACATTTAGAAATTGGGCCTTAAACTCTGTTTAGAATAAATGAGGAGTTACACTTTTGAACGAACCATCAGTAATGCATTAAAGTCTTGTTCTCATGAAAAAGTCAATGTTTGGATTTTTTTGTTTATGCATACAAGTCTTTTTAGCTTTATTAATAATTTATAAACAGTTGGAATAAACTTTTTTTTTTGTCTTGCATTCCCCGAGTCTTTTTATCATGTTGCTTTCAGGGATCACTGATCAGTTCAATAAGAATCTCTCTTGCTAGACCATGTAACTGAAGGAATGTGCACTTAGATATGAGATCTTCTCACAAAAGGCTATTTTTGTGTGTATGTATGGGTGTTTATTGTTGTTTTTAATAGAGTGATCTTATTCATTGACACATTGCTGACTGACTGAAATTTTACTTGAATCCCTTGACTCAATCTTGGAAATGAAAGCATTCACCTCAAATGATTAAACCAGTTAATAAATGAAAATTCTAGTTTAATATTCACTAGTTATATAAGCAAATACTTAGGACACATTTAGTGATATTGTAGTATACACTAGGGCTTAGTAAGTAATTATGTCAAAACATTATCAAATTATTGCTATATTTCATTTTGGAATCCACAACAAAATTCACTTTTTTCCTTCTTTTTTCTAATAATTAAGTTACTTTAAAAATAGTCTCCTGAATAACTAAACAATGTTGACCAAGTGAAACAGTGGCTATGGAAATTATCTCAGCTAAAAATGTTTTTCAAAAGGAATAACTAGTAAAATCCCCAAATTAAAATAATCTATATACTGTAAGTTTAATGCCTGTTACATTTTGACTCACCCCATCCAACTTTAACCTGTTGGAAGTTAGCCAAGAGGTTAGACAACTACCTCTGCTGTTACTGAGGGGACAGTAAGAGCATTTCACCCTACTTGTCTAAGACATCCGCTTTATGTAAGTAAGCAAGTCTCACTTTGTGGGGGTGCATGCGTACAAGGGTATCCTAAACAAAAGATGCATCCAGTAAAATATTAGGAGTCTATATTAGCAGAGATAAATATCAATCCAGGAGACATATTTTGGTATTTATATTCAGACACAATTTCAATTTAATTTCTAGGAAAATGTGAATGCAGCAAGGCCCTCCAAATTTCATCCTTACGTTAATTAATGGGGTTTTGTCATTACTTCCAGCTGAAGAAATAATTTTAAAACAGTACCCTAACTTATATTACATACTATACTGTGACATTGTGCATGTGAATAGGGAAGGTGAGTCTGTGGGATACAATGCAGTTTACGAGATTTATCTAGCTAAGCCATGTAAATATATCTAATGAGAATTAAATTAATGTATTAAGGTGAAATGAGACAGTGCTTCCTGCTGGTAAATCAGAGCTGCTGGCTCTGTGCATAGCATGCTCACACATTCAGGCTTCAGTGGATTTTATGAAAAAGCCTTTTTGCTAAAGCTTATGAAGCTTTTCAATACCCAAATACATGTCCCTATTGATTTGTTTTGTGAAAACAGATTGAATTAGGGCATTTTTAAAAAAAAAGTCAATATCAGTTTTCTGGAATCTGAGTCTTAGGGTGAAGCACAGAGCATGTCATGGCTTTTTATGGAGCAAAACTGAAGAAAAGTTGGTGGGTTTTATTTTTATTTTTCCCCAGAAGGAGTTTTTATTCTCCTCAGCAAGGCTGAGCAGCTGGGGTTTGGCAGAATTCAGAGCTGCAGGTTCCAGTCACAGAACAACTGATTTACCAACACTGATTTACTGTGTGACACTGAAGACCAAGAGACAGATTTTCCCTTTACATTATTCAGCCCCAATTTAGCCCTGTTTTATTTTCTGTAGTGGTAAAACCTGTTTTAAAGTGTGTGCTTACTTCTGTTGATCATTCCTAGAACTTTCTCTTGCAAAGTGGTACTGAAAAAGATGCTTAAGAAGCAGTGACTTCAAACCATCTTTTCAAAGATATTTAAAAATTACATGTCCATCGAAGCTAATAATACAAAATTAGCTTATTTCCCTGTACCCATTTTCAGATGGCAAATGGGTTTTTTTGAGAGGCTGAGACTTAGCTGATTTAAATATATTTTTATTGTAGTTGAATTATCTCCAGTTTTGTAGCACAGAAGAGTAAGTATAACTAAGAATTAAGTTTTGTTTCATTGCATCACCTGAGATAAAAAGTGTTCAAATGGAAACATGCTTTAAAAATAGGTTAATTTCCAAATTTAACATAGGTGCTTTGCAAAGCTGGGACCTGTACCCTTATCACCCTGCTTATTCCTATGCCACAAAGATAGTTTTTTAGGATACAATGAAAGAAAAGCTTAAGTGAAGTCAACAGTGTCAGAGCAATCTATTTAACAGTAAGTACTTGATGTAATTTGAAGTTAGACAGTATGTCTAATAGAAATAGCCTAATTTTTGTGGCTGTAGCATCTTGACAACTCGGAATTTCATTTTAGCCGCTTAATGAAACTCCATGTCATATAGTTTCAGATGAGTGTCTTAACTCTTTTGATAGGTAATACTGATATGGTCATTAGAGTTTTGCTGGATGCAGGATTTACAAATGAACTTGCCCAAAATTATTGGAGTAAACTGTCTCTGTGAGTATTCTTTTTATTGACTGTGATTTTTTTTTTGATGCATTTCAAAGTTTGATAATAAAATAATATGTGTGTGTATATACAGATATACAGTTAATGTTTACACAGGATAGATATTTAATCATGGTTATGTACTTTAATGGCAACCCTTGACATAGGAACTTGTGAGAATTTCAGTCAGTTTTCATTTTAAATCTTATTTTTGTTTACAGTGATGGTGTTGTTGCACAATTTGTTGTTACGGATGGTGGAATTACTAGAGTGTTCCCAAAAAGGTAACAATTATTATAAAATACTATAATACGATAATTTTGAAATCTGAAAGGGTGAAAGGTTAATTAATGGTTTTATTGAATGAAAAACAACTTCTCCTACAGTCTAATCTGTACTGATAACTATGAAATGAATGGAATGTCTTAGTTGCCTTTGATTTTACCTGTGTCACTGCTTGAAACTGATCTGTAACATTATTTCCATAGCAGGTCCTTATAATCCAAGTTTCTAATCAGTGCAGAGTAGCAGTAAAAGCAGTGTCCTTGTAGTAGTAGTGGGGCCATGCTAATCCCTAATTACTCCTAAGCACTCATTTGTTTGGCAGGCTGCAAATACTGTGAAGCAGGAGGTGATTTTTTTTTTTTTAGACTAATAAGAGCAGACCAAATAGTCCAGGCACTTCAAGAGAGAAAAATGTATCATTACCAGAGGGCAAAAAGGGAACGTGAAAGCGCTCATATAATAAACTAGACATCCCCATCAGTGACTGGGAATAGTGAGGGCACCAGTACAGATATACTGGTAAATGGCAAATTTATCTATTTTCTTAGGTTAGTCTATGTTTCCCCAAAATGGGAAAATGGCAATGAATTTTACTACCGAAATCAGCTTCTTTTCTGTTTTGGTGTTATTAATGATATAAAATCTTTTGGGATGACTTCTCAAGAGGTAGCATGTGCCATAAAAGTTTGTTTATATTTTGCTGTAAGTAGTGTTGCAGTTATATTTGTCTCAATATATCTAAAAATGATGAGACAAGATCCGTGTTGTTCCAAGAATACTATTTTCTTTTTTTTTTCCAAAGTTTTTTTTAATAATTACACCTGGCAGTTAACCAGTGAAAGCTGACAAAGTCTGAGGACTATGTGAATGAATCTCACATTATTTCCAACTGTGAAACATTAAAAAAAAAAACAAACCTGCAGCACAGCTTTAATGAGACTCTAACTATCTTTTTTGATCACTATTTTTTTGTGATTAGGGCAGGAGAAGATTGGTTGGAAAATGCCGAAACTTATGAAGTCAGCTTCTATAAACGGAGTTTAGATAATGACAACTATATTTTCACAGCTCCATACTACAACAGTAAGTCATCACTGTTTTGAAATGTCAGAGCTAGCTAGTCCAATATAAGTGTACTTGTGGAAGTTTCCCATACCACTTGAGGTTACTGACAAAGGGTGCAAGTGGGACACTTCACAAGGAAAAAATCTTGGGAGGTCACTCATTCTTAAGGTAAAGGTAGCTAGGAGGGCACTAAACAAGTCACATCCTAACTTGTCATTGACTGTGGTGGCCCTGTACGCTCAGAATTAACAAAGCTGAAAACATGCAGAGTACTGGTGTTCATTTATTATACTGAAACACTGTTTTACAAAGATGCTTTGGCAGAATTATTTTAAAAGGAAGTGAAAGAAAATTGCACTCGGGGACGAAAACATTACCTAAAAAAGCTTTATCTGAGCCAAGTTCTGTATACTTCCTCAGCACCAGACCTAATTTGGAAGAGGTGGTATAAGGGTCCAGAGTCCACAACTCTGTCCGCTGCACTGCTGCTTAATTTCAAGTTTGCTTTTGAATTCTGTTTCAAAGTGCTGTTATTCACCAAAACCAGTTTCTCTGAAATACTGTGATATTTAAAACCTATATATGCACAATAGTAAGTGCTTGTTACTGATGTGTGCAGCATTAACCTTGCCAAGCTCGTCTAAAAGCAGATGCTACCACAAATGACATACTCCTCTCTTAAACATATGGGATCTTTTATTGCTGTTATTTCATACTTATTTATTGCATCTTTTCTCAATAAAATATTAACAAGGTAATTAACTAAATTCCCTGAAGCCTTTGTTGTTCCTCAAAGAGCTCCAGGGAATGTACTTTTAACTTGTTTTTACATACTAAGCAGTGTTGAAAACAGGCTGAAGTCCGTCAGAGAAGTAATTGTTGGTTAGTGAGTGGTGTCAGTATAGCGTGCATTGACAAATACACAGATGACAGCAGGATAAAATCTTTGGCTCTGATCCTGGTTTTGACAGAGTTGCTCACATGTGTAAAGCTATTCATGGCTCTGTTTGCAGGAAAAAAAAAAAAAGGCTATAGTAACTTTATGAAGCAGTGAAACCGTGTACAAAAAGTGAATGAAGAGAAGTAAACAAAAGTATTCCTCTTAGTCATCCAGATGTTGGTGATCTATTACAGGTGATAAATGCATGGTACAACTGGGTCAGTGCTTTTGAATAAGGACTTTTTTTAATCATTCTTGGTATTTGAATAATCATTAATTTCAGTTTCAGAGGAAGAGACTTTTATTTCACCCTAACCTTTTTTTTTTTTTTCCCTCCCCTTCGGTACTCTCAGAAAGTGGTGCCAATAGCTATGAAACTGGTATTATGGTAAGCAAGGCTGTGGAAATAACAATTAATGGGAAGCTTCTGAAACCAGCAGGTAAGATAGAGTGGTGCCGAAACTCTAAATACATTAGTTATTTGGTTTTTGCTCAATAGTGAATTAGAAATTTAATTGAGATTTCAAAGGAACTTCACTTTATATAACATTCTTTTCTCTGAGACTGTTTTAATCTTGCTAGTGAAAATCAAGCCAAAGATCTGGCTGTGTTTGAGTAAGAGTGCTTAATTTGTTAGTCTCATGAAGGATGTTGGTGGTCAGACAACTGAGCAAAACTCGTATTTTATCCTTTTCCAGTTTAATAATTTAGATGTTATTATAATTTTTCCCTTTTTTTTTTTTAGGATTCTACAGTTACCTTTTTTTTTTTTAATTTTACTAAAAAAGACTTTCATGTATTTCTTGTTAGTTGTTGGAATAAAAATTGATGCAACCAGCTGGATGGAAAATTTCACAAAAACCACAATCAAGAGCCTGGTAAGCAATTGACCAAGTCTTTTTTGAACTTTATTTGCATTTCTCAAAGCTTCAGATGCAAATAGGTCTAATAGCTTTTTGTGCCAGAGTCACACTGATGTGTAGTTGCCAAGTAGTTGTGGTATTTAAATCATCCAAATGCACAAAATAAATCTATGTTGAAACAGGCTGTATTTTGTACGTGTCTCGCTTTCATAATTATAGAACATGGATAAAGACAAAGAAAAATGACATATTCCAGCCAGTAGCCTCCCTACCAAGATTATGCTGTAGCAATGAATAAAATCTGCAAAAGAATTGGTTTTAAAAAAAATGGAAAAAAAGTTAATCTATTTTTATTTAATATGGAGGATGGGTAAGCAGTGAACAGTAAGGATTTATATTGCAGCCAACATCACAGCATTTTAGCAGAACTTAATGAAATAGGTGCTTACATCTAATGCTTAGGTGTAAATGGGAAGGAGGAAAGGCTAAATCAAAGGAAAAACTAAGGAATTAATAGTGTATTGGGAAAGGAGAGGCACAAAATGAGACAACTGTGGAACAATTGGATGAGGCAATGTTGCTTGGTTGGTTGTATATTAAGGGATTCAATAACAGTGTCTGGCTGTTGTAGGCATTAGAGCTGTAGTTGAATGGGTAGCAAAATGCATTGCCTAAATGTCAGAACAGTTAAGGACAAAAATACGTAACTGAAAAAGAGAAAGAAAGGGGAATATCTCAGAATTAATTTGAGATGAATGACTGCAGCATTATCCAGTAGTTGTTTTGCTCAGGACATAATACAAGGAAACAGTTATGTGTGTATGTATACACATATTGCAAGAAAAAGAGAAAAACGCGTTAGTAATCAAAGCCATAAAAGCTAACTGGAGGTGGTGGGCTTCCTTTCTCACATGGGATTCCCATGCTTTGAGACTGGTGAAGCTCTTCATGGTCAAAAAAGATACTTGGCAGCATGTTTTCTGGATTTTCTTTCCATACCCCAAACACATGGAAATGCACATGTTCTTTCTCTTTTATTTTATACTCACAACACTGACATCCTGACAAGTCCTCCAAACTATTTCTCTCTCGTGTATTGAGCATTCTCAAAAAGGGAGTTGTACCAGAGACTTTGTGAAAGACAGTAGAGCTTGTGCTGTTGATAACTACTGAGTACAGGTTCTTCACAGAGATATTTGTGATAAACGACACACACTCAAAATTAATTTCAATTGATATACAGATGTTGAAAATCAAATCACTTTTTCTTGTCTTGATTGATTAATATCACTGCAAAATACAGTTTCTTTTGAAATGTTTTTCTGAAGATTACTGTACTTCTGTTTTTTAGTGCAACAGTGAAATCTGTGGCTGTGAGAGAAACAGTATGGTAAGAATATGTTCAATTTATGAATATCTGGCAGATTATGAAAATTCACTCTGTTCTCTTTAGATTTATCTAAGACAGCTATTCTATCATTATTATTTTTACAGAAAACAGGACTTAGTCATTTGTGTCTTGAGAAAGAGATGAAGATTAGGAGGGGGGGGAGTGAAAGAGGGTATAAAAGTCAGGTGAAGTGGTTGTTCAAGAATTATTGCAGTGAGGTTATGAGAACGAGAGGGAAGAAAAAAAAACACAGTAGTATAAGAGCAATAGAGAATGATGTGAAGAAAAACGTGTGAAAAAGATAATGGTAACTTTCAAAGCAAGAGGTGAATCCTGAGGAAAGGGAATAATAATTAAAAAAAAAAAAATCTGAGAAAAAGAAATCTAGAAGAAGAGTACCATAGAGAAGGGTAAATACAAACTGAAAAGCACCAGAGTACGTGATGTGCCCTTCAACAGTCGTTAGTCATCCTCCTTCCCTCTGTTGCCAGCCCATTCAGGATTTGGGGATCCCATAGCTCTGCTAGCACTCAGGAGAGCACAGCTTCAGGGGCTATCACAGTATCAGATTCTGCCATGTGCTTGAAAGCTTTCTCTGCTTAGGTCTTCCATGAGTTCTTTTGTGGAGTGTGAAGATCATTAAATATAAGAGTTACAGCAAAAAGGGTACTCTGGAAGGTTATCTATTTGGCCTCACTGCTATCTCTCCAATCTCTGACTGCAAGGATCTTTTACAAAGTGCAAAGCATAGGGAACCAGTGGGCTTCCCAGTTCTGCACCTGACACCTGGAAGAAACGCACTACAATCCTTGGCAAGTAAAAATAATCATGACTAGCAAGCTGAGAGTCTGCCCTTAAGATTTCTACTGTTAAAAGCTGCAAATGGAAAAGGACTTTAAGCATGGCTGAAGCACATGAGAAGTTGTAGTCCCTTATTATGAGTTGAGATTCAATTATAATCAGATTTAATAAGGATATAGAACTCTTAGAGCTAACAAAGTATTGAGCAAATAAGAATTTACAAAACAACTTTTATGAAATTAAGCCACAAATAAGCCTTTGAACTGTACAGACTTTTGTAATACTGATAACACTACTTATTATAGCTTAATATTGATTCTTGGCTATGGGGTTGTGATTTAGCCTGAGCCACATAGATTTGAAGATACTTCTGAAGTGTTGAATAAAAAATAGTTTCTCACAGAGTGTTATCTTGACAAATCCTTCTGCAAAACATATTTTACTTTCTTACAATAGCATGTGGACTGTGTTATCCTTGATGATGGTGGATTTCTTTTGATGTCAAATCGGGATGAATATACACAACAGGTATGTATATTTTTAAGGGCAGAACATGAAAAACAATAGGAAGAAGTTTTAAAAGAAAAAAATAACATTTTCCTCTCAACTTACCCTAAGAATAACATTTCCAAATCACAAAAATTTTGCTGTATCAGAAATTCCAGTTATTTTGTTACTCTTTTTCAATCTTATTTATGATTCAGGATGCCATACTTCTACCAAGTTGCGTTCTTTGTGCTCTGCCCTTAGGCTGGTAGGCTGCCGATGGACCTATGATGGTGAGGGCAAGTAGTATGGCATTCACACACCTTCTTTCTCATATTCCTCTTGTTCTTCCCCAAGCAGGGTGGTCTCATTGATAGTGTGTTTAGCAATTACTGTCTAACTGGAGTTCCCCAACCAAGCTTTTGGGAGAGAAATAGTCAAACAAAGAAATAAACGCATAAGCAGCACAACCAGATGAGTTGTGTGGAGGAAAAAATAGTGTGTGGGGGGAAAAGTTACAACTGTTAACTTTTTTATGAGAAAAATACTTGGAAATACTTTATCTCCGTATATTCTCCCTCATCAGATTGGAAGATTCTTTGGTGAAATTGATCCTGGCCTGATGCGAAACCTGATTAACATGTCCCTGTATGCCTTTAACAAGTCGTATGACTATCAATCGGTCTGTGATCCCGAAGAAGAACCAAAGCAAGGAGCTGGACTTCGTTCTGCTTATGTGGTCAGTAGTCCCTTGTGAGGTGACTGACATTCCCTTAAAAGTCTGTAGTTGATTATACAAATAACGTAATCTCTGTTGTTTTTTTCCCAGCCAACAATAACAGATATTTTGCATCTAGGATGGTGGGCTTCGGCAGCTGCCTGGTAAGTACAAGTGTGTAGGAAATCTGTGTGTCCAAACTAGAATTATTCAGTAGGTTTAGACTGTTTGGTCTTTTATTCCCTCATAAAACTGCTCTGAACCCTTTGTTCCTGCAGTTTCTCATGGTAAAAATTATTAGCTACATCTCCAAACTCCTTGGAAAATTGTGTTCTGTCAACAGTTGAATTCAAAACTACTCTTGCCAGGTTTTATGATTGTGTGTTCTGACTCTACAAAATCAGCGTCAGGAAGTAGAGTTGGGATTACTGGTCTAAGTCTGACTGACAGGTGTGAAGGTTCAGGTGAAATTATTACATTTAGAATTATTGATCACCTGGTTCCGTATTTCAGGATATCATCTTTCCCTTTCTCTAGCAGAAGTCTTAAGAAAATCAATGTTTGCTCTTCAGTGAATCATTTTACAAAAGACGCATGAAGCTTCTCTATTACAAAATGTAAAGAAGTCTTGCTTCAGACTGCAGGGTAACCAATATGTTATCTGATGGCACAGTTCAGTTAAAGGTTCTCATGATAAATATTAGTTGGTTCTTTGAAATGGAATATGAAAAGCACTACTGAACTATTTCAAGGAAGCAAATTATATATAAAGCATTTTGGATAAATCTATAGTCATTGTCTTAGCATTTTCTATAGCTGAGGGGAAAAGTTGGTATATTGGGACTGTTGTGGAGTGTTGGGATTGACCTTGAGAGAGGCAGGAAATCACCAGTAATTAGGTTTATCTTTCACAATCAGAATACTGGATGCATTTTAAAACTAAAGATCCATTTGGGAACTTTCTTTTCTTTTGACTTTGGTTTGTGCATTATTGATAATAGCCACAGAAATCATTTTACCTATTTCAGACCATGTAGATAGACACCCCTATCAGCTACTTCCTCCAGCACTACATTGGGATAAGTAATTGGGACTGAGTTGATACTTTTGCATTGGTGTGAATTGCACCCTTGGAGACTGTTCCTTTTTCTAAAGTTTCATGATGCTTATTTTTTTATAATAATTATCAAGCTGGAATAAATTACCTACTTTGTGAAACTAAGAGTTAAAATATATAGCAGCTGAACAAACGTCTAGTAATTTTCTCATGGATAGCACTATGAAGATTGTATGTTGGCTTTTATTGTTGGTTACATTTGTTAACAGCAACAGCAAAAACCTTGGTTTTCTTGGACAACAGCAAACCTCAAAAACTGGAGATGGGCAATAATCCAGAAGAGAAACTTGAGCTCTTCTCAAACAGAGAAACTTTAGTTTATCAGTGTTCAAATCAGACTCAGTGGTCTGGACTCAATTTAGACTTGAGGTTTATTTTGTGTGATGTTTAACTTGAAAGCACCACATGAAAGTACTTTCTATGGACATATTTTTAATGGAATCTAGGTCAGAAGCAGGCAGAGAAGGCCATTAAGCAAGTAGAGTGAAAAGCGCTGACCAAAAATGGATTCAGTGAGGCACCTGGCAAAAGCAAATGCAGGGAAATAAGAGAAACTAGGTTATTAAAGAAAACTATAGTGTTTCAGGCAACAATGTGGGATAAAGGTGCGAGTGATAATTTTCAAAATTTATATGGCATACATCAGCATTTAGTTAAGAGAGTACGTATCATTTCTCCTTCATGCTCTTTTAACTCAGAAGACTTTACAGTTTTTCCAGGCTGCCTTTTTCACTCAGTTCCCTGTAAATTCTGTGATAAGCCCTTATGAAGGATTACTGTTTTCTGTCAGCAAATTGCATCACTGTTGAATGGCATCAGGTCTCTTCTCATCCATGATGGTTGGTGCACTATCCATCTAATGATTCAAGGCACAAAGCTGTGGATGTGAATCCAGAGCTCCTTCAGGCAATGCCTCCACTGGAAAGGTGACTGGCAGATTCAGTTTCTTTACACATGGATCAGGCTGGGTAAGGAGAAAAGGAAAAAGTCTTGGAGGTTGAATAAAGTTATACAGTCCCTTCTCTCTGCAGAACAGGAGTTAGAACAGAATGAGATGAGGAGAGATCAGGTCATATTTGTAGGTAGAAGCAAACCTAAAACATGATGACAAGTAATTACAACTTAGGAAGGTTTAAGCAGAAGCAGGGAGTCAAGGAATGTAACTGTTACAATTCCTGTTTTGACAGGTTGGTAGAGGAGAAGGGGGCCATGTATATGGCAAGCTGGTACTTGCTTCAAGTAAATAAAATAGGAAAAATATGATCATGAGTGAAAAAAAAATGAAATAAATGGAGCTCTTTAAGCCTGAGTGTTTTGGCAGCGTCTAGGAGGAAAATATATTCCATACAGCAAGAGCAGGAATAGAGATGACTGTAAAAGTCAGCTGCTACAGTAATGATTTTCATAATATACTTGTAATATTCCAGCGTTTGTCTCCTTCTCAGCAATTTAATGAACCTTAATCAGTGTGAAGTATCTGATTCAGGAGCATTTTTCCTGAGTGTGTTCAAAAGGAGTTCAGGTTGGTTTAAGTGTTCGAGGAACACCAACATGCCTCTTCCACCTCCCGCAGAGGTATAAAAGGAGGACATGGATGGCATGATAACATTTCCATTATGTGAGTTATGGGCACAAATGATAGCAAATCTCAACAGTAGAATAAAAGATTAGTGTGAAAGAAGACCTGGGAGAAAGTGTGAAAAGAAAACCAGAGTCAAACTGTAAGGTTTAAAGAAACACAGCTTTAATAACTGACAAAAGCATAATAAGCCGTGATGATTTTGTTAATAACTCTTATTTGAGTAGTTTTTAAGGATCCATTAAAATACAAAGAAGACAAAGAGCCTATAACAAATATATATTGTCTCTTTGTGTTCAGGTCTATCTTACAGCAGCTGTTTTTGAGCTTGACTTTTCCACGTTTCCTTGAAGCAGGTAAGTCAAGAGAATGTTAGAGAGTCAACTTTGAGTGAAGTAGAAGGTAAGAATCTAGGCTGGGGGCCATATTTGGATCACCCCATTGCGTCTGTGACTTAAAAATGTCATTGTTTATTTATTTATTTTCTTCTTTCTGTCAGCTGATATGGAAGATGATGATTTCAGTGCTGCCCTGCCTAAAACGAGCTGTATCACTGAGCAAACTCAGTATTTCTTTGAAAATGATGATAAATCCTTTGGTGGGATTGTAGACTGTATAAACTGCTCCAGGTAAAATTTCTTCAATATAAACAGTAACTTTTGGATATTCATTTATTTTACAAAAGATAATGATATTATTATAAGAACAAAAAATATATTTTGGATTAATTACACCAACTTACATAAGCAAGACAGAGAAGTATATAGACAGTAAAATGATGAATTGCATTCCCTTTGTATTTGTTTAGAATTAATTTTAACTGTAATAATTTAAAGAATTATAGAAATATTTTAGTCAAATTTTTGTTTTATGATCTGTGTATGCTCCATGGAAATTGTATTTCTATCTCTGTTACAATTTGTTCTCTTTTAATTTATTACGTGAACTTAAAGGCATTTTGCAATATTCAAAAGGAGATGATTTTCTTTAATCTGGTTATGTATTGGAATTTTTGATGGTCAAGAAGATTATGCAATTTATCTTCAAATTTACCTTCCAGTCAATAGTGCTCATGATTGAGCAAGTGGGTCTTATTAAGCAAACCATGCTGGTTTGTTTTGTGATTAAAAGAATCATTCTTCATGGCCCATGTGCTTATTCAAGGTGATGTTTAATGTTATTTTAAAAAAATTGGTTACTTCAGAAACATAGCAACTTGGACCTAGTTCTGTGTTTCATACAAAAGCCTGCTGGGTTGAAAGTTTGCATACATTAGGAGTTTCTGAAAATGTCTTAGAAATTAAAATTAACAGTCAGATTTCAAAATCCTTGAAGACAATATTTCAAGCCAGGAAAGAAAGACAGAGGACATTGGAGAATGGTGAATACAGCCAAAACACACAGACATTTTTCCCCACTTCCATACTTCCTCCTCCATGTTGCTAGTATGTGTTTGTGTGGTGCCTGGTTGTGCAGAGAACTCATTAAGCTTGGTTTTTTGGTTTTGTTTGGGGGTTTTGTAGGGTTTTTTGGTTTAGGTTTTGGTTGTGGTTTTTTTTAATCTGGAGATTTTTCATAGGAGTTCTTTAGTTCAGTTTACTGAAAGACTACAGAAATTATTATGCTAATATTGCAAAAATAGTGCCACAGCGTGAGAATGAGTATGAAAGGACAATTTAAGCTGGTTAAAACAACTGGATATGTAATCACAACATCAATTATGTAATTAACAGGAATTTTGTCCTCTTATTGTACCCAATCAGTTGGAGGAACTCATAATCTGTGAAATTTCAGAAATAATCCGATCAATTCACACCTAAGTAATAAAACTCTGCTTATATAGAATGGTAACCACCTATATGAAAAGACTTGCCTGTTATTTTATATGTGTATGAAAATGTATTTAGAATCCACTAAAAGCAAGTAACCTGTTAGATTGTCCTGCATTTACCTCACTTTGACAGGTAGAATATATTTCATTAATGACTAAGAAATATTAAGGGTTTTTTCTCTGCTTTTTTGAAGGTCTGTCTGCCTTTCCAGTAAATCTAAATTGTACATAAAAATTATCTTTGAAAAATCAGGAAATAACCTTACCTTTAGTATCTAAGGCATGAAGTGTAGTATCTATAGCTTAAAGGTATAATGCTGCCTGTTCAATTATTTATGAATTGAAAGTGACCCTACTAACTTAAAGGCCTTTTGTGGAATTATATGGAATTAATGCAACAAATATACATCCAATACACAGCGTACATACCCTAAGCCTCTTTCTCACCCTTCTTACAGACAGGTTTATGTGTTGGGCTTTTGTTTGAAGAATTGATGCTGAACTGATTTTATTTCTCAGTACAGTTACTGTTGTAGCAGTACAGAGCTAGCTATTAACTCAATTAAAGTCATTTTATGCTCTTTTCCATTTTTTCTGCTAATAAGTCTAGTTGAAAGGGGGAACCATGGAAATGTCGAAAAGATTACAAAACTTGTTATAAATGCTCTTGCTGTTTGTTAATGGAAAAGATAAACAGTAGCAGGCAGACTGAATATGTGAAGTTGGATTACTTTTATTCCAATACTGTGTGTCCTTCTCAAATATGGAATTCCTTGCTTCATTTAAACATAGGTTTTTGTTGGCTTTTTTTCCAGACTTTATCATGCAGAGAAGATTTCAAACACCAATCTAGTATTCATTATCAGTGACAGCCAACTGCTGTGCCGCTCCTGTGACCCAAAGCCACTGATGCAAGCGGAGAAGCCGGGTATCCTTTAAAATCACGTTATTTAGTAGTGTGGATTGATTTTTGGCTATGATATACTGGAATATATTTGGAAAAAAATGGCCTGTTTATGTACATATTAGTAGCATGGTTGCCATTGGAGTACTTGAACTAGCAGACATTTGTGGATGATATCACAAATCATCTGAGGCAGCAGTCATCGAGGTAGAGAGCAATGCTGTTATTTGTGAGGACCTAAACAGAAATGGGCTCACAGAAACTTAATGAAGTTTCCAAAAGGCAGATGCAAAGTTTTGGATCCAGGACAGAATAATGACATGCAGCTGTACAGGCTGGGGGTGGAGTGACTAGAAACAGCTTTGTAGAAAAGGACTTGAGGATCATGATGGACAAGAAATTGAACATCAGTTGGCACTGTGCCTTGCAATAAAGAGGGCCAGTCACATCCTGGGCTATGTTAGCAAGAGTGTAGTCAGCAGGTTGGGAGAATTGATCCATCCCATCTTTTCAGCACTGGTGAGACCACAGCTGGAGTGCTGTGTACAGTTTGGGGCTCCCCAGTACCACACTGACATACTGCAGGAAGTCCAGTGAAGGGCCACCAAGGTGGTTGGCATCTGGAGCACAGGACAGGCAAGGGGAGCCTGAGAGGCCTGGGTTTGTTCAGCCTTTAGAAAAGACAAGGGTATGTCTGTCTAGAGAAATAACAAAAAAGGGCAACACCAAGATAAGAGTGTTTGGTCATGAAAAGTTGGGATGCTGCACTGATGCCTGCAACACTGAGTTGAAGTGGTGGAGGCACTTTAGTGTGTGCTCAGTGCCAATGAGAACTGCTTACTTCTGGTGGAAACTGCTTTAACCATCAAAGGCTAGAGTTTATCCAGCTGCTAGCATAGAATTTCTTCAGAGCTGGCTGGAGAAATAGGGGGCATACATGTTAAGCAGAATCCTTGCCACACATGCATTAAAATTAAAAGCATGTGAAAGGTTGTTCTAATTTACAGTCACCTTCATGTCAATCTCTATGCCTTTAGCCTGTTCACTCCAGTAGATACCTGTAGATGACAGTGATGGAAATACATGAAACCAACATACACATATTCTAGGCCAGGAGAAATTCACCTCGATTTTTCTCTGCTATATATGCTTGAGGATAGCATGCCAGACATGGTAAATCAAATCATAATTTGGATTATTATGACAGAATATGGAAAACAATTAGCAATACCTTTGTCCACATCAGGAAGTTAGTTGAGACAGCCTCTCCCATTCCTGAAAGAAAAGCAAATGGTGGTAGAGATGACTGTGTTTCTTTGGCACAAGCAATGCTTTCATTGCCACATTAATAAAACTGGAATTTCATCTACGCTTGGCCTGAAAAGGAAGTTACATTGGGGTGGAAGCAATATCCATGTCATCACAGAACTATGTAAACACAGCCTAATATTCTAATTGGCTCCAGTCCATGACAGTTTGATTAACTGTTGCCACTGTCTGAATTTATAGACAGCACTCACTAGAAAATGAAGCACTTTTGATGGGAAATGGGCACATGACTTGCATTTCCCTGTGGGGCCCAAACCTACTAGAAAGCAGTAAATGAACTCAAATGGCAGCCAGAGCAGCTGGGTGGGCTTATATTGACTAAATGAACTATTTTATTTTTGTTCCAACTATGCAGTACTAAACTATTCTCTCTTTTTTATAACTAAGGTACATTGTGAAATGCAGATGTAGCATAACATCACACAAGCAGACAGAATGACCTTTGGGTGCTATTCAGATGGTTATTATTAGACCCTGCTTCCTTCTGGCTGGTACAGCTTTGCTTGTGCACATGGTCTTTTAGAATATTTCTATGTTTCAACTTCCCTTTCAGCTGGGCCCCGGCAAAGAAAAGGGGAGGTGAGTCTGATAACGTCTGAATGAAGACAGATGTAGATCTGTCGAACTAAATTCCCCATCCTCTTGCCTTGTCTTCGATTGGGCATCTCCAGTCATTGCAAGGAAGCTGCTGTAGTACTCTACAGTAGTGCATGAATAGGATTGCTTCAAGTATAAGTTAGAGTTACTAAGATAAGTAAAATTTGGTGCTCAATTTTTTTTAAAACACTCTAGCTTAGCTTTAATATGTGTACTACAAACAGTGGAATAAAAAAAGCTTAACATACTGAATGGCAATATAAGCAGGTTTCAACAGAAGATTGTTTTGCAGTTTACCATATCCATGCTTTCAAGTATGCTGCAATGACTTGCGCCTCTCGTTAGCCTGTGGCAAATATGAAGTATAGTATTTACACTTAAGTATCAGCAGTTACAGATTTCAGAGACGTAAGTTAAAGCATCACCTCACGTTTACAGTTAGCTAATTAATAGCATGTCACTGCTCCCATTTCTATCCTGCTGTTCTGCTGTTAGTTTGGACAGCATTTTCTCTGTCTCCCTTCATCACTGAAATGTTAATGAGATCTGATTAGGTTTTCTGTCACTTATTATCAAAGCCTACAGTGGGATGATCTTGTCTATGATATTTGGAGTAATATAGGTGTACACATAATAAAACCAGTAGTTCTTATAGACCTTCACTGCAATTTTCAGCCTGCATATAGCATTAGTTTTCCAAACAGGCTTCCTCACTTTTACTGTGTATCTTCATTTTAGCAGAATAACTCAATGGTAACATACGCTATAACCAATTAGCACCATTGAAAGTTTACTACTTTATCAAATATATTCTGTAATATTTATACAATGGTAATAAATGCAATACAGAAAATCTTAAAAAACCTCAGCTGTTATTTTTATTTTCTGTACAGTTCTGGAAGTGCTGGTTCTAAAAAGTCATGTGGGTTGTTTATTCTCTTGATTAAAGCAGTGTTAAAAAAAAAGTGTATTTGATTTCAATTTATCTGGAGGGTTGGTTTGGTTTGGTTTTCTTTAATTTAAACTGTGGAACTGTTTAAATTAAAGAAAACTGTTTTCTTTAATTTAAACTAAAGGAACTGTGACTATTGATGTTTATTTCAGTACTATCTGAATTAGCATTAAACTTCTCTTCTCCCACGAAAGTAAAAACGTAATGTTAATCCTGCTAATGTAAGATGCACAAAAAACAGTCATGCTCCTTAACCAGAGAAACAGATGAAGGGCCAAATCCTTGTGAAATGGTCAAACAACCCAGATACAGAAAGGGTCCTGATGTCTGTTTTGATGAAGCCAAACAGGTAAAATTGAGCTTGTAAGACTTTAGGACTATCTTTAAAAACAATTGTAGAGCTGTTTAGAAGAGCAGTGAAAACTATGTTTAAATGTACCTTGGTGCCTGGTAACCTATCTATCACTAAACATACTGTTCACTGTAGACCATAGCCACGCTATTTCAAGTATCCCATGATTAACATAAAATTAACAGCTGCTTTCTTATCTGCCTTTCCTATAACCATTGCACTTTCACACATGATTCCCACTACAAAAAAAACATCAGTGAGCATACAGCTGATGGTCTCTGTATGGTGCTGTGAAATTCAGTTCTTCTATGGCTTTCACAAATAGATGATAATTCTGGCTTAGAAGTACTATTTTTATATTAGTGTTTCCAAATATTATTTAAGGTGTTGTTAAATTATTAAAAACATTATATCTGGTTTAGGATGGTGTTCCTCTTAGAAATTCTGCAAATGTGTATTGACCTTAGGTCACATTCTTAACAGGTATAATAGTGCATTGCTTCACATAAATCAGCAAAACTATGATGTTTAGTACTCCCTGTATTGTATACATTACAGTTTTGAAGGAGAAAAATTATAACTGTGTCACATATATAAATTATTTTGAATATACTCTCTGTCTCACCTTTCAAAATACTGTATGAAAGAGAATATGTTGAATTCAAATTGCTCAGAATAAATTTCAAGACAAAAAGTACTGAACAGGGAAGTACCTGCCATTATATAAAATAAATGTTTTTAAAATGCATTTGTAATGCCTCATCCCATTTCTGCAAAGGAAAGATTGTCCAAAACTAGTGCAGTTACTTGCCTATAACTGCTGTATACCAAGTTTTGTTCCATTATATTCTCTGCTTTTCTTTAATGAGGCACAATTACTGAGATGTCAGTAGTGTTAAAAAAGTCCAGACATTTGGTATTCAATGCATTTTTCTAGTAACCAAATTTTATTTTAAAAAGGAAGTCTTCTCACTGGCCAACAAAGGTTAAACGAAGTTGAAAAACCAACCAAAAGCTATTTGGCTATTGTATATATTCCAAATTCTCCTGATACGATTATTCTCCTGATATGATTGTGTGTGAAAGTACAACCCTTGCTCGCTAGCTTGGTGTGCTAATCAGTGTGTAAGTCATGTGTTTTGTAACAGTGGATTGTTTTGGTTAAGTTTATTTGCAAAATTTGCTGTGAATCTCTTGCTCTTGGGTGGATGCTTTCACATTAACTCTGCTAACTGCCAGCAATCTGCATGATATCTCATCTTGTGTGTCTTTTTTTCTGTGTTTTCTTTCCTTTCCTCTACTTGCTACTTTGCCCGTTATTAATAGGATCAGCCTATATGCACAACGAGTCGTGCCTCTGCCATGATGTCCGCTCCTATCTTCATTTTTCTGCAAGTTTTCATGTGGTGTGGATGGTCAGTTACTTTCTCTAATTTTTTGTTTTGTTCTTGGCTTAAAAAATTAGCAGACTTTTTTACTTACTAAGCATACAAAAGAAAATAGAATGAAGCGAGTCCCAAAAGCAACAATCTGGAGCAAATTAGTATTGCAATATTAAGGGAAATTAAATATGAAAAAACCCTGTCTGGAGCCTTATAAATCACAATTACAGAACACAAGGGCCTCTCCCATAGCAAATACAAAGACACGGGAACCTGTTGGGTTTATATGGTCGGCTCTTTGAGATTGCACATGTACCAATTGAGTCAGTGTCATTCCCTTCAAAACATTTTCCTCTCGTCCCTGTTAAAATGAAACAGAAGAAGAAAGTTTTCTGCACAAAGGTACAAAATTATTAGAGGAGACTATAATATGTGTGAAAATAAAGCTGTACTTAGGGATAGCAAGAATGAGTGCTCTGTGTAAGAGTAAGTGTTGCTATTGAGTTTTCACTGCATTCAAATGAACGCAAATGTTAATGATGGAAGGTAATAGTGTGCATCAATTTGGCTAAACTATGAATTCATTAAAATCATATTTTTACTTTTTAATTTTTTGCAACCTAAACATATTCATTGCCTAATTACAGCAGAAGGTAGTTTTTTTCTTCTAATGAAATACATGGATACATGAAGTCCTGCACGTTGACCTAGTGCAGACTCTGGGGTTCATAACAAAAGCCTTGGCATTTTAGACTGTGTTGCATTTATTGGTGTGAGAGTGTGCACTGCTGTGCTAGTTGACATGTATGCAAGAGAACGGCTGATCTAAAGAGAATAAAATTCATGACCTTGTCCACTGGAGGGGTTTCTGATCAATATTATTACTCAGAAAACCACTAGAGGGAGATACTAACATATCTATCAAAGTAAAGCCAACTGAGAGGTAGAAATGGAAACTTAGAGGTCATTTTTCAGAGTTACTGTAGTAAAATATTGAAAACTAACAATTTAGAACACTCATTTTCTCAATAATTTATATTCTCTTTATACTTGGGGGAAGGTTCAATTAATATCACTTGAACATCAGCGAAAAAAAGCTTAAAGTTCTGTTTAACAGCTGTATTTGAGTAATTTTGAAGTTCCCTATTCTGTATTTAAATGATCCAATTTCTAGCAAACCTAGGAACTTGCACAGCCATGGCTGAAGGTTGTAAGAAGGGTGAAAGTCCCTTCCCCCAAGCCAGTGGTATTTCACATTAAAATCTAGAAGATTAACATCTCATGTTCTTACTCATGCAATTTGCTCTGCAAGTAACCTTATTTTAATTAAATAGCTACTATCAAATGTACATAAAGCAGCAGAGACTCACCTTGAGTTGAATTCTTTATGTCCAAAATGGTCTTTCTGCTCAAAAAGGCAAACCAAAATAGTGGGAAACCCACGAAATACAATTTTAGCTGATAGACTTTTGGCAGCAGAAAGTTATAAACATAATTTTTTTCACCCATTCTGTTATTAATAACTTTGTGATTTTGGAAATGGGTTCTCACTGGACATTAATCTGTGTAGTTTTATTAAAATCACTGAAGCCAACACAGTACAAACCAGCTGATCAGGTTCAATAACGGCAGCTGTTTTGGTTTTTTTCATCAAGGATAACAAAATAGTCTTTATCACCCCCTTGAATAGCTTGTTCTTACTTTGTACATGCATGCTGGTTTTGTTTGCCATGCCTGAGAATAAAGAGAACAACTCTACAAGTTTTTAGCCCCTTCTGGGAATGTCTTATTTCCATCAGCTCCCAGGGGTGTCAGTGGGAGCTTTGAGGGTGATTAGCAGCCCAGACAACTGTACACATCTTGATGGGATTGGCTGTATCCCTGATCTATTTGTGGGAGCTGTACAGCTTTGACAGCTTCGTGTGATAGCCCAAAGGAAGGTAACACAAAATTTATGAAAGACCATGCATTGGAACTTGAAATGACTCTTAAGTAAAAGCAAAGGTGTTCTCCATGCAATATGAAGCATTTAAAATATGTGCTTATAAAAGGTATAACTTTGAGGTAACCAGTTGATATCAAAGGCCAGATCAGGAGCTCTTTGGCAGATATTGTTGTTTTATCCTTTTTATAGTCAGTGTAGCACAATGTTTCTGATAAATGATTAAGGTTTCAAGACAAAGTTTTAGCACATTACATAGTTATAGTGTACTTCTAAAGGAGTAACAAGTATGTTTATAGACTTAGACATGTATGTATATATATATGTATTTATATTTCCATCTGTGTCTTTGAAATTTTGGACTGGCACTGCCTTCAAGGAAATGTTGATATATACCAATGAATATGTGGGTTTGATACTTAACAATGAATATATGGTTTTATAAAAGCATTCATTTCCATTCTGCAAGTGCTGAATAATTTTCACAGTGTGTGATGTTGTAAAATAACCCTCTCCAGAGTTATCATAGTAAGGCATGACATGAAGGATATGACATTTGGATTTGATGCTTCTCTACCTCAAGCAGGCAAGGAAATTTGACATGTGACTTATTAATACAAGAAATTTCTGATACACTTCTGATGAAATGAAACTGCCTAAAGAGGATTCTTTCCAATTTCTTTTCTAATTTTTTCTCTCTTCAAAAAGAAATAATATACAGAATATTTTGAAGACAACAAAGAAAGGGCATCCCCAACTGGTCTGTTTGTTATTCAGGTTTTCTGTATGACTAATGTAGTAGTGACTAATGTAATGGGCTGGAAAATTTCAGTGAAACTGCTTAAAAATAATTCAGTGTCTAATTGCATTGGCAGAGGTAAAGATAAGGTAAAGATAAGATAAAATGATCCTATGTAGTTTGTTATAAGAAATTTTATAAAAAAACTCAAAAATAACATTTACTGGAAACAGTTGAGAAGTTTTCTTAAAGCTCAGGGATAAGGGAAGTGTTTTCAAAAAAGACATTTTGCAGATCATTCAAAACTGACGTTTAACTCAACCTGGTTCCAAATTAATGATGGGATCCCACTCATTTCCATAAAACTGTTAATTTTTTGAATTTATGTAAATCAGCATGTAATCAGACTTTCTCCTCCTATTCTTTTTTTTACATTCCTTGTAATTTTCACAACAGTTAAAGCACACAAGAAAATTACTATGTGCAATGCTGGGGAGGAAAAAGTAATTTAGATAGGATTTACTGTACCTTCTTTGCCACTACTATTTTTGTCTTGGCTTAAGACACAAAAGAATAACTGATTCTAGAGAGAATATTTAGAAATTGTTCTTGGCAGAACTGCTGCTTTACCACTGTAAATTGGTCTACAAACCTCAGAAATGCAATGTGACTTCAATCAATATGAGGTTAAAATCTCACCAACCTTGAAATCATGTATAAACCTTGCATACTTTTGTCTAGTACAGTTTAACTCTGTCATTCATAATAAGAAGATGCCTCTCCTGCATGAGGCTTCCAAAACACTCTCCGCTATTGTGAAGTTGTGAATCCTTTAAAAACTGCCCTGTGTAGTCTTAGGGAGAGAGCAAAACATATTAAAATATTTCTTTTCAATCCAGTAGGAAAATTACATAGTATAACTGTTGAATGTAAA